CCTAGCGCAGGCCGCGTTTCTCCCCCGGCCGATAACCCGGCCACGCCCCTCCGCTCTTGAACTACCCTCACCACCACACATGCGTGGTTCCCATAGCAACACGGAGATTGCGCAACACATACCAACACTTTCTGATATCCTAGTACTCTTTTAACAGAAACACGTGTTTGTGATTCCGTTGTTAGGGCCTGTCAATTGCTTAGCAACCGATGACAACCAATGAGAGGGCCTCGTAATTCCAGTAGGGTGCATTACTCGGTTTTTCAAATAACAACAAGCATTGGTACAACAGCATTGTACCAAGCTAAACTTACTACTATTATAAATGCGGATTAACGGATCTCGATGAAATTTGGCGTAGATGTAGAACATAGTCTGGAAGAAAACATAAACTACTAATTAGGTTTATTTGTTAATTCCGTGAGTAGTCGTGTGTGACAGCTAGGAATTATTAAAGCTTGTAATTAATTAATTATGCTATTAATTAATGTGTAATTTATTCTTCTCCTGGCGGTATAATTCTATCCGTTTCACACACTAAAAGCTTCACACTATTTCCATAACTGGGTAGCCTATGTTATCTTAGTACATTCTATGCCAGAAACACGTGGCAGGCAACGCTCGTTTGTTCGTGTTGGCAAATTTGTCAGTTTTTCTCAATCAGTGCAACCACGTGTTCCTCATACGCAATGTACCAACACTTCATAAGTGTAAAGTAGTAAAAATGCGATGCTGACGGACTTTAACAAAGTGAGCGTGTGTCAAGGGGCTCCACATTGTACAAGGACAAATGAGTCTTTATAGAGATAAAATTATTTTTGTGAAAACGGTTGAACATCATAAGACTACGGAAAACCCATTTTTTTGTAATTGTCCAATTTATTCTTGATGGGGTTCAAATTGTCAATTTTCTTAAGATACGTGGAGGCACTAACACAATCAGATATGCTTGGAAGTGCTTGGAAGAAAGGAATTTATTTAATTCATATCTAATACAACTGAAATAGATTAAAAGTTTGAAGTAATAAAATGATACGAACTGCTCAGTCTGAATGTGAAAGATAAGATAACAAACCGAAAAATAAAGTGTTTGTCTTTTCAGAAAACTACTGCCTGTCTATAGACCATCAAAACAACTTGGATCCTGAAAAGTATTTAATATTCTGAGATGGGGTGCACGTGCATCTGACGTCACAAACACTAGGAAATCAGAAACCTATAGTATGAACTCAGGAAAGATCGGGAAGGAGTAGGAGGAACATGAGATGAAAATTGTACAAGCGTGTCTTTCATATATCTAACTATCTCTCTCCGACTGATGAAAGTTGCTTTACCTGAATGAGACAGATTCATCAGACAACTTAATACAAGGAGAAAGACATCGCATCTGCCTTGTGTTTTTGTGTTTGAATTTCGAATGCAAACAAAAAAGGTGCCGTCACATCCCGAAGGCGTGGAAGTACCCGAATTTTCTCGTCTTTTTTTGCTGATAAAGTAACAGATGGCGCTGCCATTATAAAATTTATCTTACATTTAATATAATTTTTTAAGAAAAAATTACCAAATTGTTCAACTTTGACTGATATTAAATTTACAGAATCATCTTTTTCCTCACTTTTTATGGCCAAACAACGCCATCTATGAAAAAATGCTTACATTATTACGAACTACGCCAAGAATATTATTATAAAACGTCAATAGATGACGCTAGCAGTATTTCAGATCTCAAGAATTGCTTTTTAACCATCTGATACGATATCGAATATAATCTTACTTTGACATCAAATGAAATGTTCTACAATTTATGTCTTCATGAAGATACAGAAAATATAGTAAGTTAATATGTTTAAGGATTAAGTATCTAAAGGTCAGAGACTTCCTATAATTAATTAAAAGTCTTAAAATAAAAGAAACAATACGTGTGAATCAGGGGACGCACCACATGATATACTGATGATGATGTTGAAGATGTTTCTGAGAATCTCCGTTTAAAACATATTGTTATCTGAGTTTTGTTAAAGGTGAAAGACAAAGCTGACGATAAATTTTATATAGAGATTTAGGTGTTAGAAACTCACGTTACCTCTACGATTATGTATATATATAATAAAAGAAGGGTACAACAAATCTCTTAACATTATACAAACTTTTTCGTTTGTTCAAAGTTAGGTTTTAAGATATTCATTATACGAGTAGGATTGTCTAAAGAACATTAGAAAAAGGGCTATAAAGAAAATAGTTTTAAACATATGTAATTTGAATAAATTTGAATGTTATTTTTTTTTTGCCGAGCAATAAATAAAGTACACATCTTTTCTATAATAATATTTAATATACTTATGCTCACAGTCGCTTATAAATCTTCGTCAAATGGTTAAAACTTAAATTAAAAAAATATTGTTTTTTTTTCTCATAAAATCTCACAATTCTCACCATTAAATATTTTTCTTTTATATCCTACTCCAGACTCTTCCATTCCATCATCAACTCGCACTCAATATCTATCTTTTGCAAATCATCCACTTGGAGAGAGATTACGTCGACTTCATCTGGACAAGTTTCGGGATCAAAGTTTGACGTCTCTTCGTAATACTCTATTGAACTAAACTGATACTCGCTGCGTCTTATTTTCTCTGCTTCCACATCTTCGGAACCTTCAGATACAACACTTGCAATTGTTGCTGGTGATATATTAACTACAGTAACGTTTGCTTTTATATCTTCTACTTTTGTTACATTTTCTTCATTCCGTCTCTCTACGTCTATATTACTTATACACGGGTCCTTAATATCTTTAAGATCAACAGGGATAGCGTCAACTGATACAAATTCTAACAAAGAAGCATCTTCTCTAATCGATTGTTTATATCTGGCAATTCTATCTTGTAACGTCTCAGCTTTACATCGACTATTGTCCGGTCTATCTCTACCCTTTAGATGTGCTACATGCCACTCCTCGTCATCGTCTTTCTCGAATCTTCTGTTAGATCGATGTGAATCATAATCGACATTATCTTGTCTACGGTCATTTCCTAAATCATGTTTTTCATCAGACACTACATTGTTGAGTTCGACAAAATTTATCGCTAATTGAAACAGAAAATATCTTATAAGTAAAATGTTCATTTCTTTTTACTCGATTGTTCTTGAATAATCAAATTCTAGATTTTGTAGAACAAGAAATATTGGTATCGCAGTAAGCGGAGCGTAATCTAAACACAATTTTGATTTGTTATAATTGTAAACATTTTTTTCTGATCGCGCACAAACATTTGGTTACATGAGAAATCATACGACTTAACTAACTTGTTTAATTTCTCAAAACTTTTTCAAATGTTGCCACTTTTCTTGTTTTTAGATTATTGCAAAACACTTAAAAGAAAGATGTGGACTATGAATATATAAACAGAAGCGAATGTAAGTTGATATATTCTTGCACTGTTTATCTATGATTTTTTTTCTTTTTATTTATTATATCATTGTTATATGTTATTTACTGTTATTATAAAATATGTTATCGTGTAAACTGTTATGTAAAGTGTGTATAGTGTCAAATTGGTTGTATACTGTAATGATGCTATGCAGTTTTTAAATAAATAAATAAAAAAAAAATGTCTTTTTTTTGTTTAAATACAAAGTCTTACTAATATTATATATGCGAATGTTTGAATGTATCGATGGATTGGTGTTTATTACAAGTTAAGTCTAGAACGTCTTAACGTATCTCGATGAAGTTTCGCATAAATTTAGAGCATAGTGTGAAAAAACACATAGGCTACTAATTAAGTTTTTTTTTAATCCGCGTGTACAGACTCGCGGCCGACAGCTTGTAATATTATAAAAATAACGTATAATTTCTGTCTTTTAATACAGCATTATCAAATTAAACAGCTTTATTGTTACTCTAGTGATTTAATATAACCACTCAATAAAGGCTGACCGCAGTCGCTCGTTCGCGAAGCATCACTGACAGATAGTTATCTACTCATAGTCTGTGGCACCGCTAACTAATCCATTCAACTCCGGCTATCCAGCCACCGACATAACTACCCTTCAAACGTTGGAAAATACTTCAATTAGAGGCGCACACCCCTTGCCAGATCAAAACAGCCCAATTACCTCGCAGCACGACCCCTTTAATAAACCCTCATTTGCTCTAAATCTGAAATAAAGACGATGATAAATAATAACAAATTTGCAAAGTGAAAAGTCCCGAAATTAGCATGTCGTTTGAATAAATTGACAGATAATGCGACTCCGAGACCCCGCCATATTTGAATTTTAAGTGAGATGAAGCGAGATAGCGCTCTAAAGCATATTTGCGTTTAACGATACAGCGTATGTCTTTGTTTGTGTCAGCGCTTCAACCGCTGCGGAGCCGCCGGAGATGTTAACAAGTCGCTAAGAGATGCAAATTGCCGGCGGTTGGCAGCGCTGTCTCCAAATGGCGCCAACTCATTTGCATAATTTTCTACGAATTCAAATGTATACATTTTGAGAATTGGCAAAATTGAAAAGCTTTTTTTCCTTTTTGTAGTATTTAATAGATCTATTTTGTATACGTTAACATTAATCTATGGATTAATAAATAATTTAATTGTAATATCTTTGATTTTTCAAAATAAATATACAATTTTTAGAGAAGATAATCTACATGTATTAAACGATCTAAATTCACGTCTATATTTAAGATATACAATACATAATTAAATCTAAAAACTAAAATCATATTGCACATTGTCCTTCTTTTATGAACATTTACTTCTATAAAGATTCTGCTTTGCCACGGACATTCGGTCTTTATTATTAAAAATAGAACTTAAAAATGGCACGTGATATATTTATATATGTCACTGCAGAAAAACAATCATAATTGTACCGCCACAGCGTTTTACAGTTAACAATATTATAATAAAATTTCATCTCCGTTTAAGCGATGAGACTATTCCAAATGAGGCTGCACCAGATTAAACTGATCCGTGTTCCAGATGGGAATAACTTAGATGTAGTCTGGGGCATTATAGATGGCAGTGCATGTATGGTGGGTAAGGGGGCAGCAGAGCGCACGCCAGAGGCAGCGCATGCGGCAGTTCCCGCTCGCCACTTGCCGCCTGCGCCCGCAACTGCTCCAAACGAAGTTGGTTTTGTCGTTTCCATTTTGTTCTAGAACAAGAAATACTTTGATGACATTGAACGATACACCTAAAAGAACAAACGAAATTAAATAAAGCGCTATATACCGTCGGTTCTGGTACCATGTCTTGACTTGCGTCTCGCTGAGACTGAGCGCGTCGGCTACGTCCCCGCGGTCCGCCACGCTCAGGTACTTCTGGCAGCGAAACTTGCGTTCAAGATACGCGAGCTGCGCGTGTGTGAATGCTGTGCGTCGGCGTCGCGGCTTCCGACCACCCGATGACGACGCGGGCTTGGCGTGCTGACGATCTGAGATATTGAAATAAAAATTTAAGATCGAATATATTAAGAATTCATCAAATAAAATGGAGGTAATTGATTACACTATCTCACCAGCAGACTCCTGCGAATCTCTCTGCGAGTTGCCAGCCATTACAGACGCGAATCCAGCTAGAAGTTGAGACTGGAAGGTGCTCTTTGACAGGTCCATGGATCTTCCGTAAATACCCTCCGATAGACCACCGCCCATGAACCCATCGCCGGCTTCATCCTTGTTGCCATCCCTTTCCGTCCTGTACAAATGAAAGAGACCGTTGTCGTACAGCTTCATCGACTCCTCCGTCCGGTTTTCGAATTCATTGTCTTCTTCTTTAAACGGTGAATTGTAACTCGAGTTTTGTAATCGATTCAAATTGTATTCGACTGGGGAGGATCGTTCTGTGTCGTCGGTATCGATTTTTTTCTGGTAACAATCAGCGTCGGTGTCGAAGCCGAATCTAGTTTTGTTGGGCGTGGAGGCGTCGCTGCGGTTGTCGCCTACAGAGATATCGTCCTCGAGGTCGGAGGTCTCTATGTTGTGGCCGGGGGACGATTGGCATCCGCTCTCCCTTTCTACATCTTCATGGACTGCACCTAAAGAAACAAATACAGATATTGTATTGTAAAATGTACTAAAATTATATATAAACAACTATATTAGATAGTCCATTCAATTGATTGATGAATTGATTCAATGCAATATTTTGCTACACCAGGTCTTCAATTTTTAATAGACGACCATTAATTTAGAACTGAAAAAACAGCCCTTATTTATTGATGACGTCTCGGTAGACAAAAATCCGTGCGGGAACATTAAGATCGCTTACTTATCCGACCCTAAAACATATTTATGCAAAAGTTATAACGAGAGAAACACTCGAGTACCGCCCCTTCGAAAATCCGACGAGTAATCGACTCCGGTCCAACTTGGCGCTGGAAAAACCATGAAAAGCGACCCGTAGTCTGAATGGTGGTGAATACCCGCCTCGCCATTTTCATGCAAATTAAAAGACACAAACAGACAAGATTTTCCCGCGCTAAAACACCATTCAGGGCCGTCGTATTGAATCGCTGGAGTGCGGGACGCCCCCAGGCATTAATTAGAGCGGAAACTCTATGGCCGGTTCTTTTTCAAAACTGACGTCTTTATGTGAGCCAGAGCCCGCTTTTGTGCTCGCGGTTAAGTGTGAAGTCTTAGCAAACGATGAGTTTATTTTTTGTTGTTTTTAAATAATTTAGTCAACAAAGGAAGCAGATCTCTATATAAGTACATAATGTAAAGTTCTTTTATATTTGTTTTTAAATGTTGTACAATTCCTTAACAATCCGAATGGCATAGACAACGCGGATAGCTTTTGGAAAGTTTTTATTAAAAGTAAAGTTAAAAACAATAATTCCCACTCGATGTTTGTTAAAACTGCAACATGTTAGGACTGGACACTCTTAGTCTGTAAGAGGTTGGGGGTTCTAACGCACGTTCGCAACTAACAAGGTACTCTAAACTTTCTGACCTCATTGAAAGTTTAACTATCGATTAATTGATTGTTTTTATATTATACTAGTAATCATCCGCGGCTTCGTCAGCGATGAAAAGAAAAAAAAGAATTATGTCTATGACATGCCCGCCTGCATCAGCTACCTTCCCATCAAAGTTCCTTCAAAATCAGACCAACCGTTTCGTATTTTACCCGGAGAAACGCGGCCTTGTGAACAGACAAACAGACAAAATAGTTTTTATCATCATAAATCATCTCCAATCCTATTTTATAATATCTTAAACCACTTAATTCAGGAGCATCGCTTCAGAAGCTTCCCTTCAATAAAATTCAAAGTCAAAATCAATTGATAATTATCGTTGAATGCGAGAGTGCATATGCTCTCGAGCGCAGCGTGGCGCCTCTTGTGCAAGCGCACGTCCGGCACGCGCCGCGGTCGCGCGCCGATTTACCTCGCCCCGCGACCCGCACACCGACACACCGACACCCCGCGCCTCCCTATCCCCTCTACCGTCTATACATCTTAATACAATTGGAGTGTCTGTATATAATATCGAAAAGAATAATGTATTTGCGTTACTCATAACAAACAAAGCAATTTTTAAAACTTGTCTGTATGTCTGTGCGCAAGACTGCGTTTGTTCCGTGTAACCTCCGGAACATTGCACCGATGGTACTATGACAGGAAGGTAGTTGAAGCACAGGCGCATAGACTATACTTGTAGTTAAGACCTTATATATCTTGAAAGGACTGCAATAAAGCATCAGAACATATCAGCTTATTTACTATAATAAAATACAACTAAAATCACTAGAAATTATTAAATATAAAATGTACTATTCCGGCTTTAACGATCTAAACACTACCTAGGTGAAGTTGTTTATTTTATCTGCGTAAATGCGATACAACGCAAAGCTCCTGGACGCACTTCTTATATTTAGTACCCCGAGGCCATTATAGATGTTATTGTTATCGCTCAATATTGCTGGATATTTACTCTGTAACTAAGTTCATGTTTTAGGTTATCTAAAGATTGTATATAGTAAATACAGTATACATTCAATAACTCTGTAAATCACTGAACATCTTTCGCAAAAGCTTTTACAATTTGAGATAGACGAATCGTTAGATACGAATAAGCGGCCATCTTTAACTAAACAATTGGATTTAAAGTACATACATTGACAGATACTTCTCTGCGTGTTTCTTTTAAAGCAAGTTTCAACTATCATCAACATAATTCATAATTCTTTAATTGCATTTGACTGGCCGACGACTGCACCAAACAACTCAAAGTTACGGACTCGCGGCGGATGACAAGCCGACGGATGTATTGCCCTACCGCTGTTTTTTCTATGTTATATGTATATTAAATTGTGTATAACAATAAAGATTTTTTCATTTTTATTTAGTTTTCATTAAGTTACACTTTCATTTAAACTATGCCTTGCAAAATTGTTTTCACCGTACGAACCGAGTTGGTATTTGGACCGCTTCCCGCTATAGTAAAAACAAATGAACTCGATTTCTAATATGAACTCTGACTTATTGAGTTAACATTCATAATTACATTGTACAAGTAACTATACTGAATTTAACAACTAGCTGTCGCCCGCGTATCCGGGCGCAGAAGTAAAAGAACTTAATTATTAGCCTACGTGTTCCAGGTAATGTTCTAATTCACTAAATTTTAAGATCCGTTGAGCCGTTCTACTAATATCTTCTAACAAACATCCAAACATTTGTATTGTAATATTAGTAAGATATATTGAAACAATAAATCATCAAGAAAATAACAGATACAAAGTAAATAGAAAAGAATTGATGAATTAAAATGTAAAAAAAACATGGACATATCCCCTTAATTACCAACTTAATCTAAAAACTGTATAGACTCATAAAATAATGTAATCAAGAAGATCATACATCATTCCATACCAATGACTTCAATAAACTCATCGAATGATTATCGTAACCCTTAATTAGTATAATAGAGGAGCCATTAACTAAACATCAATGCAACAAACGTTACAAATTTCAAATAGAGTAATTGTAAGCAATCAGGGCTGATACAACCGCAGCTGATAAAGCCAGTTTGTCTTACAATTACATGTAAGTGATTGTTAGGGGCTCGTTGTTAAAGCGGACAACCCTATTATAATATAATAACGACTGTACACCGTCCTACTAATCTTGATATTATTAATCAAACATCTATTACAAAAACTATTGTACGCCAATGATGTTCGGAAATATATTTGCAACCTTTAGGCCTATTTTGGTTTATTTGATTTATATTAACGAATGCAAATGTATGAAGCACCACCAAATTTAGATTTTTTACACACTAACTACCAACCCCAGTTTCGTTACTAAGTCACTTAATGTAAACTTTATTAGTAATAGCGCCAAACCGTGCCTTCATCAGTATAGAATTTAAAAAAAAGTAGGCTAAGTTACTCCTGCATAGATCAGCTACCTTCCAATCCGAGTCCCATCACAATCGATCCAGCAGTTTCAGAGATATATGGAAAAATGTGGATTTGCGGACAGACAAACAGACACAACGCAAATGATTACTTTTATCGATATTATACAGACACTGTAATTGTATTAATTGTTTGTAGATTATAAATCAACACTAAGTAAGCTACTAAGTAGTATATAATAATGTAGACGCATCAATCACCGACATATGATTCCGTTTTCTTTGTTTTATGTTCAAGTATCAAATATAGTTAACCGCAGTACCTTAGGTGATAGGGTGTCGATGGTATGTTCGCCGCGGGGGACTGCACTAATTTGTCGCGCGTGTTGTTTATATCCCGTGCTCAACGCGGGCTTGTCCCGGCTTCAACGAGGTTACACCTCTTCAGTTATAGCATTCGATCTTGTCTTAATAAGTCGGGGAAGGTAAGGGAGCACGTAGAACTCAGGTAGGTTGGAAGTACGAGTATTGACTGACAGAGAGATGTGTAGGTATTTTAAATTTAACCATAAACAGAGAGTAAAATATCAAAAACACAAATGTTGAAAATACTGATTGTACATTAAAAGTACATAATTACTATTATACAAGGATGAAATTATAAAAAATGTCTTACTAATATTATAATTGCAAATGTTTGGATCAGTGGTTCCCAAACTTATTTTGTCTACTGCCCAATTTGAGAATAAATATTTTTTAGCGCCCCCATATTTTCACATATTTAAAAACCATTATAACTTCAAATTAAATGAATTAATTAATGTGACCTATGTATGTATATTAACGGAGAATTCTAAACGAAACTTTTACTATAACCCGCAACTCGAGACCTGCAGCGCCCATAAGGGGGCGTTATCACCCACTTTGGGAGAGACTGGTTTAGATAGATGGATGGATGTTTGTTTGAAGGTATCTCCAGAACAGCTGAACGGATTCCGCTGAAATTTGGCTTAGATGTAGAACATAGTTTGGAAGAACACACAGGTTACTAATTAAGTCTTTTAGTCCCGCGCGGACGGAGTCGCACGCAACAGCTAGTTAGTTAATGATTCATATTAATTTATCCATTTTTGCGACGGATATATCTAGACACATAACGCGTTAAGCTAAAAATAGCTAAAATAAACCGTAACCAAAATAACGAATGTTTTAATAAAAAAGTTAAATTCTATGAAAAATTGATACTTGATGGTACTATATAGCAATTGTGAAAAATGTACTAGCAATCAAGCAAATAATATAATCCATTTATGTGGTAAGGTGTTTTAACAAATTTTACTTTTGATGACATTACGGACTGTTAAATCGCTGTCCTAAATATCTAAAAAAATCCATCAAAATGCTAAAAAAGCATATCGTCAGACATACAGAGAGACAACAAAGTGATCCAATTTCGTTCAGTTCCGTTTTTTTCTTTCGAGGTACATAACCTTTAAAATTAGCAAGCAGGGCTTGTACTTTAAGACAGATAATGTTATTTGCAACAATAACCATTCTCCTAAAAAAACACATACGTAAAAATATAACTCTGTAAAAAAAGAGACAACAGTATATTCCTGTACAATTGTTTGAAAACCATAGTAAGTTGTGTCTTTTAATGCAGCGTCGAACTGGCTCTGTACGTGCCTGAGAGCGGACGGCGGCTAATAAGCCGACAATTTGCAACTGTACGCGCACACTTAACATGTAGGTGCATAAATTAGGACCTAATTTTACAAACTTGAAACGTAAATTAACTGGATTTATATGAATTTTTCATAAAGCACTTTGTACTTGATGTGACTAGTTTGATGGCTGTCTTTGTACAGCATTATTTTTGTTGTTAGTATGACTAACTAAATTTTATAATACATTGATTAATAATGGTTTCAATTACAACCAACATCTCAAGAAGCTCTCGCTAAACAGTTGGATTAACGGCCCGATACAGAAGGCAGTTATCCTAGAAACCCCACGCATCGTGAGAAGGTTCCTGTCTCTGCAGCCCTGAACACTGGTTGTTTGAGTCATGGAGTTCCGCAGCCGGTGGTGCTCTATTTTTAATATAATATATTTTATATATTTTTTTATTTTATATATGAAATGTACTATATTAAGAATATGATAAACAAATGAATACATGTTTCAATAATAAGTGACAATTAAAAACAACGCTTCTATTAATTTATAGCAATGTTTCTAACGTTTTAATCATGTTTTTAAAAGTAAAAACACTAAAGCCACTTAGTAAATAAGGTAAAAATTTATTTAAAAAAAACCTAACCTAACCTAAACATTCAGGTAGCCTTTAATTTTTTAATATATTAAATTTAAATACTTAACTATAATAAAATATAAGTTGTTTGTTCATTTATATATTTGGTTTCAATTAAAAACCTAATTACGTAAACAAATGAACGTCAATTTTCAAACATGGCGGCCATTACGCAATAATTTTTGGTATTGTTTCATGAAAATTGTGAGATTAAATGAGATAATATGTGATATAATGATATGAATATAAATCTGGATAGATTCATAGTAATAAGAGAAAAATTGTTTTTTTTTTTCAAAAATTATTTAGTATACGAAAAATTAAGTGAAAACAAGGAACGCGTAGACTAATTTATTCATCGCTTATATTAGTTTTTTTTAATTAAAGTAAATAAATGGTGTAATACTTTGTACTTGTACGTACCTTTGTACATTTAAGTCGTAATTTATATACTAACTTTGTTTCGCGGATACGTTTACACATTAAAATTATAATGAAATATGAATTTTGATAGTCGGTATAACAACGATAATTTTTAAGAAGTGTTTTTTAACAGTGGTAGAGCCCGCTTTAACATCTTCGAACGAATCGGCCCGGCTCGCCCGGTGAAATACCACGACCACACATAAGAGAGGCGTGAAGTGAAAGCAATTCCGCGTTTCGTCTGATGAGTGTGCGTCCCGGAGGCCAAAATTAGTCGTCTTTCCCTACCCACCATTTTTCTTATAAAGAAAGGATGGGAAGTGGAAGTGGACTTTCCGGGTGAGAGGATGCATGGAAAGGGTATATATTTTCTTTCTGTGCATCCTCTCCTCCGTCGATTAAAGGTAAGCAACGCATATGCAATTGCGTATGTCTATGGGCAAAGGTCACTTCGCTATTTCAGCGATTTTAGGTGGCTGCACGCTCGTTTGCCACCTTGTGAAATAAAAAAAAAAGTATTTTGGCTATAATTATTTAGTTTATAATTATTCATCTAAAGAGCCCATAGAATTTTAATAAAGTAATATTTTAATTGAATCACTGACATCTTTCACTTACAAACAAAAATAAAGAAACATCCCACTTCTCAAGATCCGGTCCAATTAAAAGTCTACGGAAGCGCTACGACGCTCCGAGGCGCGCTACGAAAAGTTTTCATGTCACAAATTACATTCATTAAAATGTAATGTAAAATATAAATATGAAACCTGATTACATTTCACAAGGTGTAAAGAAATTAATGTTACTTTCTTTCATTTACATTTTCTGTCTCTTTCCGCTCGGATTTTCCTGTTATGATGTGTTTTTTTCTCAATTAAATGCGAAAGCGTTAAATAATTTAATATATTTTTGATTTGGCTGCTCATTAAGAGCATAATCTAAATATTCGTAACAAAGTCTCCGTAAGAACATGTCCATTTACAAGCTGAACACAATAATCGATCATTAAAATTGGTCCTTTTTTTGTGACTGAGTAGTCACTGTTTGCCTTTACAGCTCCACCGGGCTTGAGGTGGCCGAGCGCAGGTGGCGCTTAGCCTGAACCTCGCTTAAGAGTAACAAGACTCGAGGGCTTCCTCAGAAGCCTCGGCTCGGGCTGTTACTTCATTATAGTTACCGGACTGGGAGGTCACCGAGCTCTTAGATCGCTTAGGTGGACGCTCCATGGAGTGACTGGTCTCAAGGGCCCCCGAGAGGGCCGAACCTCGGCTTGATCGGTTGCTATTATCAGATTGCTTAAAATTGATCCGAAGACTATTTCAATAATTTTGAATATTAGAAAAATACCACATTCGAGCTTTGCATCATTTAAATTTGAAACAATTTAAAATGTATAGTTTAAGATTTCTCCGTGTTATTATAAACAGATCAGTCGACCTAGTACAAAACTTTTCAAGAAAGTATTCGTAACGTCATAAAGTACAAAAATAAATCTCATGACGTGACATATTATGTCGAAGTCGTTACGAATACACATATCGAAAATATTCGTGATAGATTCAATTGTGTTAACAACAACAAAGAAACCGTTCCCCGCTATGTTTATTTTATTGGCTTCATTTGTTTCTGATTCAAATTCTAACTTCGTTGTGTTTTCACCGCCGTAAAACATTATAACAACATGTGTCTAAGCGGAATTCGATTATATTACGTCAGAGGGCGCCACTAAAAAAGTAAAAAGTTACTGGCACATAGTGGCGCCGTGATATTTTATTTCTCTATTTTATCGAGTGTGTTTTGTTATTTTTTCAGTGTAAAAACGAGTGAGTTGTAACAATGAACAGAGAATAGTGTTGTCTTAATTTACTTATATTTACTTAAATCGTAGTGTGTTGTACATATTGTGTAAAGTTAGAATTATAATTTCTTAATAAACATTTAAGTGGAGAGGATGATGCTTTTATTTTGAACAACATGTTTTTAACATGTATTACGGAAGTAATAATTAAATAATATTAAGTATCAAACTTAGAGGTGACCGATGATATGTTATTAGGTACATTAAAAGTTGAATATCTTACTAATATGGAGGCATTTACTTCATCAACAACCAATCATAGGTTAACATCAGCGATAAAGCTCTATAAAACCCAAAATAAATGGAAACTCTATTATTTATATCACAATTATTTTAAGCATACTTTCTTAAAAACATATCGTGTACATTTTTTTATTAAATAAATATTTAAATTTATTTTAACTCTTCTTTCATTCGTTAGCGTTTCCATTTCGTTTCCATTGCAAATATTAATTTATCATTGTTTATTCTTATCAATAGAAACAGTAAAACGTGGCAATTGTTAGCAAATTAAATAAGTAGAGTAATATAAATATAACAAATAAATCGGCAATCATTAATGATGACGCTCTTAAAAGTGTCAGTATTACTTTTGAAAAAGACGTCAAACTTTACAACACTTTTATGGCGACAGACAATGATTATTTTATACTTAACACACGTTGTAAAGAATCTAAATAACATAGTTTTATAAATTCTCTTCGTATAATTAATTTACATTATCCTGTTGGCTGTTGCTTACTCACCGTGTGTGTGTGTCGCGGCGGGTGCACCGGGCGCACCGGGCGCGCCGGGCCGCAGCACGTCGCCCAGCAGGTCCTTGATAAGAAACGACTTGTGACTGTCCTGCATTCTCATATACCTTCAAATACTACGCATTCCGTTTAAATATATTTCAATTCATTGTCTTTAAAATTAACTTAGCAATATAAAATTATTCAAACTTTATTTTACAAATGAAATATTGTTTAATTAATGTTTTTACACTCGCGGTAATATTAATTTATATAATTGTCATAAATTATAACGAGACGTAATCTCTTTGCGGTATTAATTAGAAAAGCGATATACACAATGCGAGATGCACTTTCGCGCGCTTTCTCTCCGACTGTCAGCCATGTTCAGGCCGCTCAACCAAGAAAATCTTTTCATTTAGCAACGCCCTACTCCTAACCGACGTTACGTACATTTTCTTGCGGTTTTGGCCCAAAATACCGCTTAAACGGGCTTTAACGCGCGTTTAGCATGCGCGGCGCCCCGGGGGCGGAGCCCGGGACTCCGCCCCTTAGCCACCGACCAATGGCGTGCCAGCCGCAAACTTTTCCGCTCGGATGACAACTAGAGTACGCCACGAAACGGGGGTTTAGACCCTTAGTTATTGAGTTGGTTTTTAAAAGACCGTTTTGAATGTAAATCGAAAAGTTAAGCGAGTAAAGAGCCTCCCGCGGAGTCCCAATTAAATTGATAGTTCGCGTGGAGTGCGCCCCGGCCTCTCAATGGAAAATACTGGGATTTATTTCAACTTAAGCCTTCTATTATGTACGGTTTGGGAAATTGACCTATCAATTATGCACCGGTGGGTTTGCACTTTTTGTATGGACTCCGCCGCTGCAGAGAACGCTTGCATTTCGCTAACGCGCTCTCTTGTGTTCGCATTTGTAATTAAACTTTTCTTTTGTATCATATAAACGTCAATCACCACCTCCATGTTTTTGTGCGCTTTTTTTTGAATTTTATCTTACTAATATTATTTTAATTACGCACGGACGGAGTCGCGGGCGACAGCTATTTTTATATACAATAAAATTCATTTTAATTAAGTAACTCCGCGACGTATCTTTGTACATTTATTTCAAGTATGTAATACGATACGATGTTTAATACGTCAGACGAAATTCTAAATCTAATATCATACCCGAAACCTTTCCACCACAAATTAAATGATTTCTCTGTCCCTATTAAAAATATCACCGAAGCTATCTACATGCCTTACGTTCGTTACGCGACATGAGGTTTGTAGGTAAATAGTGTATGTACTCGCTGTATAACGAAGCCCGACGGAGACGGCACAAATAAACTATTGTATGTTTTATACATATTGAGGTAAGCAATTATGTTCTCAATTAACGTTTAATTGCTTTGAGATGTCGTTACACTTCATTATTGTATTCTTATATTTTATATGAAGTGTTTATGTTAAGAGAAAAAATACCGGCCGTGTACATTACCGCGATTGTACAACGAATATATATTTTTATATCTTACTAATATTATAAATGGATGGATGTTTGTTAGAAGGTATCTCCAGAACGAATGTATGAATCTGGCTGATATTTGGCATAGATATAGAACATAGTCTGGATAAACACATATTCTACTATTTTTTTTAATTCCTCGCGGACGAAATCGGGACAGCAAGTTCAACTACAAATGTTGCGACTTCAGGAATCCGTCGGAAATTTGACAATATTAATACCAGACATTTTAGGAGTAACTATCTTATATATAAAATTCTCGTGTCACAATTTTCGTTCCCATACTCCTCCGAAACGGCTTGACCGATTCTCATGAAATTTTGTGAGCATATTGAGTAGGTCTGAGAATCGGACAACTTCTATTTTTAATCCCGCGCAAACGGAGTCGCGGGCGACAGCTAGTATTTGTATAAATATATAAATTTATTCTTTTTATTGTTTACAGTTTAATTTCATTTTTTTTCTTTGTTCTGGGGATACCTTGTATCAAACATCCATCCATTTATAATATTAAGTAAGATGTATGGGTTCAACGTACTTTTATTCCAATTTAAACTTAGCAACCCTTATGTTTGTATTATTTGGAAGAAAATCCGAAAATGTGTCAGTGTATTGACCCAACACTAGCATTACAAAAATGTCGACGTTTGTGTCCCCTCACTATTCATTCTGACACTAGACATTGTAACGATGCTCGTCATTCGCGCCAAATGATTCTACCTAATACTGTCTAAAAGTATGTTTAAAAGATATATAAGGTTAGATATATAAGTTGTTTATAAATAAAAACGCTATCTATGTATTAATTATTTATTAAATGTTACAAAATGTCTTATTCACAAAACAAAGACATTAAATTCGTGAAGTCTATCTGTTTTTAGGGTTCCGTACCTCATAGGAAAAAAACGAAACCTTTATAGGATCACTTTGTTATCCGTTCGTCTGCCTATCAAGACCCTTTTTCTCAAAAATGAAGGTATCAAGCTGGAATTTCTTTTTAATTCATTAATTTATTATAATTACAAGAGAAATGTAAATGAATATAAATGCAAAAATACTGGTTCGTTGTCGCGTCGCTTTGTGTTTCATATTTCCCAAGTAAATGAATTCAATCTTTTTTACATAATAAACATTCGATATATTACGACCAATTAAAATCTTTTATTGTTCAGTTATTTTTAATAACAAAATATCAAAACACAGTCACATTTTATTTTTATTCGTAAAAATATTTAGGAAATTGTTTTTAATAGATTCAAAATGAAAAAAAAATTACGTCCGTGGTTTTCTTCAGAACGGAAAATTTAAATTAATCACGTTTTTTTCATACAATTTCAATACAAAATGTGGAATAATTACAATAATTATATTATTTAAACTTTTTAACAGATAATATTAACAATGTTCAGTCAGCTTCGGACCGCGCCTCATGTTACATAAGTTCAACAAATGTTATCATCAAATGCCAGTGTGGGTGTGTCATGTGTCATGTGTCATGTGCGGTGTCATCAGACGAGGGAGAACTGTATGATACGTTTGATGTCCTTAAGCAGCACTTCCACGAAGCCGCGCTGCAGCGGAGGCTCGCCCTGTAAGTTAACGTACAATTCCACTGTACAACAACTCATATCTTTTTTATATAAATTGTTAATTATAATAAACAAAATATATTCTTGTACATATTGTAAGTAATTTTACTATTAATGAGGAGGAAGTTTATAGTTTTTTGTTTTTAATTTTAATAATTTGTGACGTCACAAAAAAGACGTCGCGTCAGGGAATCACAAATTTATGTTATTTTGGTATATTTTAAATTCAAGAAATTGATAACAATTTAATATTATTCATAGTTAATGTTGTTACAATTAGATATAAAATCGTGTGTATACCTTGACGGTGTCGAGCAGGTCCTCCACGAAGCGGTCGTTGAAGAGCGCCACCAGGTCCGCCCGCAGCGCGCTCAGCTCCTCACCCTCCGCGCACAGCAGCGCGCCCGCAGACCTCATGCCTGCACACACACACACACACACACATATCTTAAGTGTATCTCAGTCCAAATGAACGTTTAAATGTTGTGGTATAAACGTGAAATGTACCGAGTTCATGTGGTGCGGCTGCCTGCAGGTGCATGCGCGCGTGCGCCCACAGCAGGTAGAGCGCCTGCGCCAGCGCAGCGCCGCAGTACTGCAGCTCCGCGCGACGCACCCGCGCCCTCCCCCGCAGCACCGACACCACGCCCGCGCGCACCTCCGTCGGCGAACCCCCCACACCTCCAGCACCACCAGCACCAGACTTCTCCTCGCCCAGCAACTTCTTCATGTCTGTCGCACAACAATAAGTTAGATATTTTGGTCCTTCGAGCCGGACACAGGACCGAAGAGTAGTTGCTTGGTGTACCGACCGTCGAGCGTCATGGCGGGCAGGTTGTGCAGCTGGTGCGCGACAGTGGCGAGCAGCTTGGTGTGCAGGCGGTGCGCGCGCGCCAGGTGCTGCAGCAGCGCACGCGCCGCCGCGCACGCCGCACTCGACGCACTGTGTGACGTCACGCGGGCGTCCTCGCGCTCCAGCGTGTTCAGCGCGTACGTCAGCAGGTTGCACACGATCTGACACGACACGAGACAAATATCATTTGTTCCAACTTTCAGGTTAAATAACGGACATCGGTGAAGTACTATGAGGGAAGAATTACCTTGAGATAGAGCCTGTTGTCGGGGTGGTCGGAGGCGGGCGCGTGCGCGTGGTTGGCGGGCGGCGGCTGCTGGAAGCGCGGCAGCAGCGCCAGCATGAGCCACTGCACGCGCTGCAGGCTGGGCTCGGCGCGCTGCAGCGCCGTGTCGCCGCGCGCCAGACCGAACACCTCGCGCCCCGACGCGCGCGCCACCACTGACGTAACCCACTCCAGCTCCACCAGCAGACCCTCCGGCGAGCTCGGGTGCGCCGCTCTACTCGCAACGAACACGAATTTCAATCATAAATCTAACATTTTCCCTGAATTAAAATTGAATCGGTCGCACCAATTATACCTCAGCACCATGTCGATGCACTCGACGTGGCTGACGAGGAAGTGCGTCACGTGTATGACGCAGCTGTGGTTCTCTGTGCCCAGTGACGTCAGCAGCGCGTCGCACAGCGCCAGCGCCGGCACCAGCATCTGACGGAATCTGACACAAGCAAACAAAAAAATTAAACATATTTCATTTAAACGCAAAATGCATGTAAATAAATTCAACCAGCGATTAGGATATCGCTTCGGCTAGAACCTGGAGGCGACGGAGGGCACGAAGTCAGTGTCGGGGCGGGAGTTGGCGGCGTGCACGTCGGGGTGGCAGCCGAGCGCGGAGAGCGCGGCGAGGCAGGCCAGCGCGCCCTGCGCCACCACCGTCTCCGCGCCGCGCCGCGACCCCGCCAGCTTCAGCAGCAGCGACATCTTGCACTCGTACACGTACAGCACGCGCAGAGACTTCGGGCTCGGCTCCAGCGCCTCACGTGGACAAACACAAATAATAAACTTACTCGTCTACATTGTATATCCGCAAAACGGTTGACGTAGGAGCAGTGTAACGTGCGCGTACCTCCTTGAGACCCTCGTCGTCGTGCAGCAGGCTGTCTATGAGGCTGCGCAGATAACCCTGGTCGGTGAGGGTGTGCAGCCAGTCCGTGGCGGGGTCGATGTCGAGCAGGGTGTCGAGGCAGGCGAGCGCGGCCATGCGGCAGACGTCGTGCCCGGCGCCGGTGCAGTCGCCGCACACTATGGCGCACAGCTTCTCCCCGAAGCCGGTGATCACATCCACAACCATGGCCTTGAGCGCGGAATCCTCGCGGTTGGCGCGCCCCCGCGACTTGTCTAGTCGGCTGACGTAGGTGACGTCGCCCTCCTCCTCGGGCTCCGCGGGGCTCGCCTTCAGGTTCACAATGTTGAGGAAGTTAAGCAGCGCACCGTAAAGGTTGACACGCATCTTCTGCGTGCTGCCACCCGACACCAGGATCCAGCCGAGTATCTTGTGCAGGATGAACTTGAGCGTCAGAGACTTGGTCTGCATTATTTGGTTCGAGGGACCGAAGAAGCTCGCCTCGAACTCGGAGGAGTTGAGATTGGACTCGCGCTTCTGCAGGATGTAGCAGTGGCGCAGGTTGACCAGCAGGAGCAGTACGGTGCCGGAGGCGAGGTTACCGAGCTGCGGCAGCACCTCCGCGGGCGGGATCTTGTTCAAGAGATCCTGCAGGATGTTCAGCAGCAGATTCTTGCGGGACTCGAGAGCCAGCACGTCGGGCGGCGCCACGCAGAAGATGATCTCTGTAAGCTGCCGCCACGAGTCGTAGTAATGCGTCAGCGTGGCGGCCAGGTTGCGCTGCCGGTTCACCTCCGTCACGTAGTCGAGCACCTGCACGAAAATTTGATAAAAATGAATACAGTGCAATATTAAAATGTAATGTTTTATTATATAGCTGTACTGTACGTGCGACGTGGCATACCTTCTGTATCTCGAGGGCGACGAGGCTGCGCTGTGGCGCGGTGGTGCGCAGCGCGGCCAGCTCGCGCGCCAGCACCGCGTGCAGCCTGCTCACACTGATGCGCTTGCCGCCCACACCTGATTCAACGTCACCATTACATTATACATGATCTAGTAACATTATTGATATGTAAGGTGTGCGCATGTACCTGTCGGCAGATCGCAGTCGTTGATGGCGCTGCGCAGCTGGTGCGCGTGGAAGAGCTCCCAGCGCGGCTCGGCGGGCGCGGCAACGCTCACCGCCAGCCCCTCCAGCGCGCGCCGGATCACACACCACTCCCACTCCTGACCCAAAAATTACTTATATAGGATATTATTTCCCAATAATGAAACCTAAACTCTGGTTCTGCCGGAGTTGTAGTTTTACCTGGTCGGGATGGTGTGGCGTGTGTGTGAGGGCGCCGAGCAGTGCGGCGAGTGCGGCGTGTTGTCGCGTGCCGCCCGCAGCGCCCGCCTCGCACGCGCACGCTCGCAGCACCCACGACCGCGCCGACACTGTCGTCACTGACGCCGTCTGCACAAAACATGACACGATTTTATTTGTTGTAAAAATACATCACAGAAAATTGATGCTCCTACAAAGAAAACAACTTTTATCAGAGAATTTACATGAAAGATGGTTTGTTTGACTCACTTCGAGGTTGACGGTGGCCTTGACGTGTCTGGCGAGGAAGTAGTCGCGAGCGCGCAGCAGACGCAGCGCAGGCGGGGAGGTGGCGGGCCGCGCGCACAGCCAGTACACCAGCCGGTAGCAGCTCTCCACCAGCGGCGTCGCCTCGCTACATCACGATAACATATTCACATCGGTAGGTATAAGACAAGCTTACTTAATAAGGTCTCTTTTGCTTGTGCATGTGTTACCGTTCATGCGCGGCGGGTGCGATGTGCTGGTCCAGTATGTCTAGCACGGCGTGCAGCACGGTGCGCGGCGTGCCTCCCACGCCCGCCTCGTTCAGCACGCTGCGGCTCACCTGACACAGAACAATGCTCACATTACATAGGAAAGGGATTAGAGAAGATAAGTGAATGTGTAGTATGCTTACGTCATCATTGAGCTGGTATCCGAGCAGGAAGTGCGCAAAGTTGGGCGCGGCTGCAGGCAGCAGCTGCAGCACGAGCAGCACCACGCCCTCCTTGGCCGCACGAGCCTCCTCCGCAGCACTTTGTTCGCGCTCCTCCACCGCGCCCCCGCCTGCGCTTCCACCCCCGACATCTGTCCCGGCACCGCACCACTCCTCCGACTCCAGACACTCAACGAAACCATGCCTGAGTAACATAAATATTAAAGGAACAGCTTAGCTTAAACCAAATATATATAAAATAAATGTCAAATGCACGAGAATAAAAGTAGGGTAAATCACCTGATGTCCGCGGCGAGGGCGTGTCGGTGTGCGAGCGAGGCCAGCAGGTGTCGCGCCGAGTGCGGGGAGAGCAGCGCGCGCCGCAGCAGCGACACCGCGCGCCGCGTGCCCGCCGGCAGCGCGCCCCGCCCCACCACGCGGCAGCACGACACCAGCCGGTCACACTTCTCCGGACCCTCCGGCGCTGCACCAACATCACATATGTACTATATTCCCATTTTCAAAAGAATCGCTCAATATGTGAAAAGAGGGTCTAACCTAGCAACAGTTTGGATAGTCCTACGACGAGAAGCGCGCGGCCCGCTTCGGCAGCCGCGTCTGTTAAGGCACGCTCCAACGCCAGCGCTCGCTCCAGCATCTGCAGCGTGGACACCAGCGCGTCCTCTACGTACTCCTGGTCACAAACACCAACATGAGTACCTTGACACATAGTTACACACGTAACACACAGGATGGCGTTAGTTGTGCGGTGATACCTTGCCGGGTCCGGGCTGGCGGTCGAGCAGGTCGTTGGCGCGGTCGAGCGTGGCCAGCACGAGGCGCAGCAGCTCCGAGTCCGAGTGCAGCTGCACCAGCAGCGGGAAGCCGGGCGGGGGCTCCGCGTCCCCCGCGCCCCCCACACCGCCTGCGCCCGTCGCGCCTCCCGCACCCGCCGCCGGGAAGTCGCTCGCGCTCGGCTCGTACTCCTCCAGCCAGCGCGCGAACAGACGGAAGCACAGCGCGATCACCTGCGGTGTATTTACAATATAGACTTATTAGATTATAGAATATGTAGAAATATGCAAACTCAGTAATGCAGGATAGAGCTTGTGTGACCTGCCACTCCTCGTGGGGTACGGCGTATCGGCGGTGTGGCGCGGGCAGGGCGAGGCGGTGCAACACGTGGTGCACGTAGGGCTGCAGGCCGGGCGCGCGGCTGCCGGCACCCAGTGCACGCGGTGCTGGCCCCGCGGCACACAGCGCCTCCAGCAGCTCCAGGAAGGCGCGCGATAGCGGGTACTCCTCCATGCGGCACTCCACCTGACAACACAAACGACATTACGAATGTAGGAAAGCGGTTTTAAGATATTAAAACTTTTCACAGTAAGGAAGTGCGAATACCTCCTGCAGCTCAGCGTTGAGGCCGCGCTTGTCGGCAGTGGAGACGAGCTGCGCGGCGTCGAGCGCGGCCCAGACGCGCGGCGCAGTGCCTGCTCGCCCGCCCAGGGCCGCTAGCGTGCGGCACAGCGCCGCCTTCAGCTGGATTGGCACGTGGCAGCACATCAATCCTGACACACATGCCTCTTATAGTTCTTTGATACAAGTAAAAACTACTGCACCGAGAAAATGTAACAGCAATTTACCGAACATGCAGTTGACGGCATCCCATTGTAGGTTCTCACAGATGGCCGCGCTGGCCGCCTCGTCGACGCGCGCCACCGCCGCGATCAGCTGCAACGATGCTATCATCGCTTCCACCTGCACACATACACTTATTGTATAATGCTGCACCTCTCACTGGGTGTCAATACATCACATGGTATGGTGGTTACCTCCTCCTGGCGCACGAGCAGTTTGCCGGGGCGCGCGGCTGGAGTCACCACGGCGGAGGCGCCCAGAGACGATGAATGCAGATGCTCCGCGAATGGTGCTGGGTCTGCACGCAAGTTCCTAACACACACATGTATTAAAATAAAATTCTATGTACGAATAGGATTGTAATGTAAGTTATATTATGCGATGAAGAGGATGTTGTATGTTACCTGTGATAGAGCTGCAGTGCAGTGAGGAGGTGGTGCGCGGAGAGTGCATCGCGGCGCGCCAGCAGGGCCCAGGTGTGCTTGGGCACGGCGAGGGCGGCCAGCGCGCGCAGGTAGGCGGCCAGCAGCGCCGCGCACACCGCCTCGCCCGACAGCCGCACGAACTTGTACAGCGTCGCCTCGCGCCCGCCACCACCTCCACCACCGCCAGCACCGCCAGCACCACTGCGGCTGCAACACACATGTCGTATTACTTTTTAGTATTCTGGGAAATCATTTAAATTTACCCTGCTTTTTCGGGAAACCAATATTATGTAAGAAAGCTCTATATTTCTTTGAGGATTTTTTTGACTGAAAAAAAAATTTTGTACTTTTTTATATTCTTATTTTAATCAAATTAATTAGTGACAATTACTTTCGTTTCAAAGAGACATTTTGTTATCATAAGATTGACTGTAACTTTAAAATCGAAAAAGATTAACATAACGTGTCGAGTAAGAGTAGATTTACTTAAACCCTCACTGTGGCTTTCTTCGAATTTAGTTGAGTTCAAGGTTACTTGTGAGTACCTGAGGGCTGAGGGCCAGTAGTCATCGCGCAGTTGCAGCGTGTCGTGTTGGTAGAGACGCTCGACACAGCGCAGCAGCGCGTGCAGCCGCGTGCGCCCCGCCCCCGCACCGCCCGGCGCTGAGAGACCCTCCGCCGCGTACATCTGCACCGCGCGCGCTGCCTCGTCCGCCCTGACACGTTACACATAACAATATTAATACATGCATTCAGTTGAATTAGTTTTTTTTTAATTTCTTCCCAATTTGAGCACCACGGAACGATAACTAGACATTGAATAGTTCGCTAACCGTTATGTTTTAAATGGGGATTTTGGTCTCAGAAATCTACAGTAAATTTGTTTAACAATTTCACTGTAATTGGTACTGACTTGACTCTCATCTCCATAAGCTTGGAATGCATGAGGACAATGAAGTCTGTGAGGAGCGAGTGCAGCCGCCGCTGGTAGTACTCCTCGCCGCGCACCAGATCTGCCGACAGCATCGCCTCGCTCACGTACTCAAACACCTACAAACAAACAAACACACATACAATACCTTTCCTATGACAATAAGGAGACCTGCTATAAATATCAAATATAAAAAATAAAATTGATATACCCATTCCCCCTTCCATGTCCACAGAAAAGGTACCGGTTTTTTTTAATTTATAGTTCTATAATAAAAAAAAGCTATGAAAATAACTCACCTTTCCATCAATAGCTGCATCAACCAACATTTCATCCTGGTCCAACAATTCACTCTTTATATCTCCCGAACCAGAAGCCCTAAGTAATGTTTGTGGGGCTCGCTTTAGTGCGGCCAATGCCAGTCCTAGGGCCAGCTGACACAGGGCCCGCAGCCCCGAGCCCTTGTCTTGGCCCTCCTGTGTCTGGTTTGGGTTCATAGGTGGGGAGAACTCATCCAACAGAACTGATATCAGCTCTGGATCCTGTATCAGCGGTAATTTCTTTGCTAGTTCTTCACCATCTTCACGCCTGTTAGAACAAATTACTTAGTTTTCATTTTATTTACTATGTCCTGTACAAAATATGTAGTCAACTCTCTTACTAGATTGAAAAAATTAAAATAGCATAACATGTATCTGTACAAGTTTTCGGCAGTGGAAACTGAAGGTCAAACAACATAATATCTGTAAACATAGTAAGGACTGATACAGAAAATGGTTAGAAATTATTTATTAAAAAATTTCATATAAATTTAAGGATATTTAAAAAAACTAATTTAGTACCAATTTTATTAATTATTGGACACCACAATTTTAAATCAATAACTTTGTAACTATTGTAAAGTAATAAATCTCACTTGTGTAAGACAGACAAGTCGAGTGCATAGAGCAGCGCCATCTGCAGAGAAAGCGAGATCTCGTCCAGCGCGCCAGTCGGCCCGTGCGTCGCCGATGTCATTTGCTACATACACATAATACAACACATTTTATTCTACAATTATGACAAAGAGTTTCATATTACAATCTATTCAAATACATACTTTTGAATAATTATGACAAACTTACTTCTCTATACAGCCGGAGCAATATATCTCTGTCGAGCCCGCGCTGCGCAGACGCCGCGAATATCACACCGGCGAGCAACTTTCTGTAACAAAGCCACAAATTATAAACAATACAATTTAATTTCAAGAATATTCACATATAATTAAAAAGGTAGGAGCTGGTGCAAGTAACCTGGTGGTCTCTATTGTGCCGATGAGTCGCACGAGATGTCGAGGTGGAGGCAGCGCTCGGTTGTTCTGCAGCAGCTCGAGCTCGGCGTCCAGTGAGGTGCGGCGCAGCGCGTCCAGCACGCCGCCCAGCAGCCCGTCAGCTATCAGCTGTGACACGTACCGCGACACGTAGCTCACTATCTCCTCGCGCGCACTTATTGACCTGCACACAATTGGGAAACATTTTAAATACACAAAACTAAGTACATCTATCTATAGTATCTACATATCCTGGTTCGACCCCATCCATGTACCAATGTGTCTTTTGTCTATCGAAATTCTTAAGGAGAATTAGCCAATGACATTATACAAATATGAAAGTGGGGTATTCCCCACTTTCATATTTGTATAATGTCATTGTCTGTCACTGTCAAAAAAGCAATGTACTAACCAGGAGACACCATCCCTTGCCATGACGAGATGTCTGAGTGCCTGCACAAGTGCACGGCGGCCGTCATGTTGGAGCAGGACTGCGAGCAGGCCACGTGCCAGCCCCGGCTGCCGTGGTGCTTGACGCTGCGCCGTGTGCAGCAGCTCCAGGCACACATACTCGTTCACATTGTACATGTCTGCACAAATTGCGCAACAATAATTGTCATAATTATTTACCTGATGTAATTTTTCATTAACATCAAGATAGTATTTTATCAAACTGTAACACTGTAGCATTCATTGCGCTATATTTGGCTCGTTCACGTACCGACACATGTTGCTGGCTCAAAGGTCTGATATCGACTGACGTCCCCCCTCTCCAGCATGTACTTATGGCATGTACGCTCGAGACAAACAACACTATGTTTATGCATACACTACAAGCACAATACGAAATAAACTATAGATTTTATTTCACATTAGTACTCATGGCCAGTGTGAATTTTACCTGATATTATAATAGCTTCATCAACAAGCTCCTTGGACAGCAAAGTCCTGCCTATACTGGGTAAATTAACTCCTTCTGTCACACCTCTTTTGATCTCCTCTCTGCTTGTTGGGTTTTTCGGCTGAATGAAAGCAAGAATTACACATAATAAACATGACAATTATAAATAGTTTACAAGTAATGACATATTGTTCGTTGATCAAATAAATGTCAACAAAACTTTTCATGCTTATGTATTTTCATGAAAATAGAAGACAACATTTTATTTAACAAATTTATGGAAACCAATAGTAAAAAAATTTACTTACAGGATATTTTAAGAGTGATAGAAATGTTTGTTTGTGCCTTCTCAGGACGGATTCAAATGTGTGCACTGCATATGGAGCTCCACCACTCTCATGTGCCAAGTATCCTTCCACCACAGACACTAGTTCCTTGTAAGGTGTCCATAGATCTTCTATAGTAGTTCCTACATAAAATGAGTCATTTACAAAGAGTCAATTAAAGATTAACTAGCCTGTGGATGTGCCCAATTTATTTAGATTGGATACATTTTATACATGTAAGTTATAGCCAGTATCTTCTCCAATAATACCCGTAGTGTTAATGAACAAATAATTTGATACCAAGGTATTCAACAAGGTGATTCTGTGGGTTGTCAAATACATAGTATATTCGTAGAAAATAACATTTATCATTGTACATTTATGTCATTTATTTCATAAATTTCGACTGTAGGGGCTATTATAACTACTAAAACTAATCTAAAGTTACAAAGCCGCCAAAATCTAAGTATAGGTTAGAAATTGAAAACTTCTCATACCTTCGTTAATATTCATTTTGTGCTGAGTTTGGAATCCACGGCGATTAACAATTAGTAATTCATTTAATACTTGGTCCTCTAAAAAAATATACTTATCAAAATAACTAGTTTACAAGCAATTGTTTTGAATTGAGGTGATATGCCATTATGACAGTTCGTTTAAATTTCAATAGAAAATGTAAAATTCTAGCGTACCTTCTGTTGTCTTTGATTCTACTGGTCTATGGTTATTCTTATAAATTTCGATAAAATCTGAAAGAACCGAAATTATTTTTATGGCGGTAAGTTTAATTAAAAATACAGTTGAAATTGTTAAAGTTCAATTAATTAAACTATTCTATGATAAATCCTGCACGCTTGTGTGACAAACATTTTACAAAAAATTGTTAGTTGTTATAAAGTATATAAAATATAGTATATATGGTTGTTAGGGATATCCTGGTTCGATAAATTTGAAGCAAAGCGACATCAAGAAGTCTTTTGTAAACATACTTTGTTATGAGAGAATAAGGAACGGGAGACAACCATTTATTTTAAAAATAGAAAAAAATGTTGAAACATTCAGAAAGTCTTTAATACACACACATTGTTAGAAGACATCAACAACAGGTTTTATTACAAGAATAAACGCAATTAAAAAAATACTCTCTACTCATTGAATACATAATTTAAGAAATATTTATACATTTATAAAGATTGTTTAATCTTTTCCAAGTATTCGATGCATTTATTTCTGTAGAAAGTATTGTTGTAGAATACTATGTTACTGAAGAAATCCTCCGAGTTGGTCACCTGGACCGGGAGACAATTCAACACATCTTTCTTCTCGTCCTTACGAACATTGTTGCATTCATCATCAATAAGTTCCATGTACTTTAAGCAATTTTTGTTTATCAATTTGCTCAGAATTATATTTCCACAAGACGTGAGTCCCGTCTTTTCAAAACATGCCTTTGACAGAATATAGAGAATACTAACATTAAAATGAGTCAATGTATTGAAATTCTGCAACAAAATTGATTCACCTTCCAATAACTCTCTCATTCCATTCAAAAAAGTCTTGAAACAATTTTTCTCATAAACATTATAACTCTCTCTGTATTGGAACTCGGGTAATGAAACGATTTTAGATGGTTCTGGTCCTAAAAGACTAGGATCAATCTTTGGTTTAGCCGGTCTGTAGAGAATGATTTCTTTGAATTCTTCCTCAGCAAGTATCTGCTGGTAAAGTTTGTAGATAGGGACAAATATGAACTTTGAACTGTTTACTTTTTGCAAAGGTTTCCCATACGTAAATATAATATCTATTTTTGAGGAACCTTCTCCAATCATCCATTTAACTGGTTCTGTGATATGTATCATTGGGTTAGAGAGCATCTCAGCTTGAAGAAATGTATTTAAATTCTTATGTTTTTCTTTCAGTGACATCTTTGTGTACAGTTGACGCTCGGTATAGGAGCCACGATGGTATCTAGGATTTGTATTTATTTTATTTTCCTCATGAAGAGTGCCTTTTAAAAGTTCTTGATTATTACTTATCGGTTTGAGATTGTACTTCCAAATGAATTCCGAGGCTACAATAGCCCTAATCTTTTTCATATCCCTGTGTAGAGCTATGTTCTTTTGCATTAGATATGCCTGTAGATTATTATTTATCACATGGCATTGTATGGAGCAGAAATAGTATGCACATTCCTCAATTTGCTTAAGGAAGGATTCCGGTATTTTGTCAAGGGAGAACAATGATTTATTTGAATAAAGTTCTGTTCCGAATGCACTCTGTAATGTTGATATGTAAGGTTTTAGATCTATGCCCTTGTATTGCAAACAGATAGCGTATACCTCGGAATTTCCTTGACGAGAAGTTATTGGCTTATATATGTTTACTTCTTTGAACAATTGATTGAGTAGATATAAAAGGTTTACTGTGGAATGTTCAAAAATAGTGAACAATTTGAAGATTAATGTTCCACCTGAAAATAAAATACAGTTTTTACACACTTCATACATTTTTTTGCAAGAAATTTAACCACATAAGTTATGATGTATACCTGGGCTTAATGCCTGTAGTGCTGTTATAATTTCACAGTAATGGAGAGGTGAAGTAACTTCCTCTTGGGCATCAGGCTTTTGGAGACAATCAATTGATCCATCGGCTGTTACAAGCAGAACCTGAACAATTATACATTTTCTTCAATACAAATTTAGTTTATAGGTCATTTAAACCTTCACAAAAATATAATTACTGATTAACATATTCACATATTGTCTAATATTAAGATATATTTTCAAAGTTAATTTTATCTTGAAAGTTATTAAATAGGTCTTACTTTGCCTAAAGACTTGGCTTTCTTGACAATAGCTTGAGAATTTTCCCAATCCATCAGATTGCCGGTGTTGTCAACACCAAAGTCCCAGTTGTCCAGAGTGTGGAACATGAATCGGTCATCACTTATCATATTTGATGATGAGTTGCCTTCATAGTATGGATTCAGTGTATTTGCAACCCATTTCCACTGGAAAACACAATGTATTGTTACATTATAGATTTAAAACAAAGAGTATTGTAGTTCCATAAAGTAATTTCAAATGATCATTAAATTAATAATAGTTTTAGTGTTACAAAAGTAATTACATCAATAGCCTGATGATGCAGCTTTAAGTAATGGTTCAAAGAAGTTATAAATGCACCCGGTGCTTCGCACAGATGCAATGACACCATTTTCATGTCAGAAATAGCCTCTGGTGGCACAATATTATATGTTGAAGCACATTCGTAGAACTTAGTCCAGGCCTGCGTTAGGAATTCGGGATTCACCAGGCATCTGAGCTTCCAGCAAACTTCGCCGGCTGGATTGCGTCGCCGAGTGTGACTACTCCATTCCTCAATGCTAAAGTCATTTAGTTGACTCTTGTGGAAGTTTAAACGACTTTTTAAATATTCCAAGCCCTTTACTTTCCACGGTGCATCAGTAAACCAAGTATCGCCAGGCGGTAATGTCCACTCACTGTTATAGCGGAATTTAAACTTTTTATTAAATAAGTCATTTAGCTCGTCTTCAAACTCTTCACCCCTGTATAGCTTCTGCCTCGATTGCATTAAGAAATTTTCCATTGATGGATACATATTTCAATATTATTGTAGGCAATTGCGTATTATTGCTAATAAATGTCGGTCAAGTAGTTTGAGAACATTTTCACTCAATTCAAAATAGATTACGAGAATCACACAATTAGCTGTGATTTACTAATAATTCAAAGACCAAATACTAAAATCGCAATTCCCACACTTTTATACTACATTCTCCTCAGGTTTACATTTCCAGAAATCAATTAAATGGTTCTCAATGTTTACAAAAGAAAGATGCTTGTCAAATTGGTCAAATTGTCAAACTTTTGTGATGACACCCATTATTTATTCTCATTTCTTATAACTCAGATGTTGTTCGGAAATGGTACTGTGCAAAAAAATCAATTTATTTTCAAATAAAAATCATTTAAATTGTAGGTATTTATAAACGACTAATAATAGTGGTCTTTGGTAAACTTACGCAAGAATAGAAAAAAGAGTAAAATAAAAATGAAATAGCCATATTTGAGCAAAGAGTAGGTATAAAAAAAACCGCAAATAAACTTATAAATCTTTGATCACTTTGACGTACGTAAATTGAATTATCAATATTGCAAACTTGGATGAAAGTAACTTTAAAAGTAATTAATTTACAATCACATAACTGAAAAAACGTAATCCGACTGAAAGGATACTGACATCGACGTTCTCCAATAAATGCTTATAAACCATTGCACAGGAAAGTACTTTGTTGACGTGACTTGACTGTTGACTCGACATACTTAATAACTTTACGGACAACAATGAGCACTTGGAACCAAATGCTACGCAATGATGAACGAAAAGAGGATAAACCTCCTCATTCCAGAATTTTCGTTGTTTGTGGCAAACAATCCAAGGAAGAAGACCTTAGGCCACCTTTTGAACAATTCGGTACCATTGAAGATATATACTTACCAAAGGATCGCGCCACTGGCGAGCCCAAAGGTGTAGCTTATATCAAATATAATAAAACTTCTTCAGCAGCTCTAGCCATTCAAGAACTGCACCTCAAAACCTTGAGAAGTGACTCAAAGCCTATTAAAGTGATGGTTGCTGTGAATAGAAATGACGCTAACAGCAGCAGCGAAGACAGGTATACGCGGCTGTTTATTAAAGTTCACAAAGAGGCAACTGAAAGTGAAATAAAACAGCATTTCTTTAATTTTGGATATGTGGAGTCAGTTCATTTGCAAAAGGATAAATTTACTGAGGCAAATAAGGGATTTGCATATGTTCATTATAAAACTTTTTATGATGCTGCAAAAGCTTATGAAGAATGTGACAGAAAGTACAGACCTATGTTTGCAACTCCTAAGGAGGAATTAAAAAGAAGTAGGAATAGCTTAGAGATGGATAGCTTTCATTCAAGTAATTCTCCATGTAGGGAAAACCATATAGAGCGTTACCACAGTAGGGATGATACTAGGAGAGATATATTAAATGGTGTAACATTAACTAAACCTTTTGATTTTAACCGAGTAAATGTTAAATGTTACCCTCCGGTGCCTCAACGATATATAGAGCAATTGTTTAATGTTGTTCCGGGGATGAAAAATTGTCAGTACACCTTAGATACATATAATGGTGTGTGCAAGGTTAATATCACATATGAAACTGAAAAACAGGCTGCATTTGCTTCGGAGAGGCTTAACAATTTTGAATTTCCTTCTGGTGAAGTATTAACAGTCTGGCCAGATAAGAATCCTCTGAATAAAGCTGCAGCAGAGTTAAGTAGCATAGTTAACAATTTTAAAAATGCTATTGATGCTGGCTCCCCCAACCTAGTGCAATTAGCTGATGCCATAGCTCAAGCATCCACCTTAATCAAAGTTGTCACTTGTACTCCTGAAATATCTGAGGAATTGGAATATGATGTAAACTACTGTAGTGTCCCTCTCCCCCCACCCCAACCTTTAGCCAACAACAACAGCAGAGTGGTGCAAAGATGTTTCATAGTTTGTAAGCCCCAGCCTCCACCTAGCTCCGTGTTGAGAGATGTATTCTGTAGATTCGGTGACCTTATACATGTCTCAACATTCCCCAATAAAATATTTGGTTTTGCAAAATATGCCTCTATTAAATCAGCGCAGGAAGCTATAAAATGTTTAAATGGAGCAGTCGTATGTGGAATCAGGTTAAAAGTCATGGAGGCTGATGAGAAACCTACTAAGAGTGATGATGATCACAGAATAAATGACGACGAACAAAGTGATAACAGAGACAATGATATAGACAGAAAAAGGATAAGACTTATTGACAGATCGGAATAACGAGAGATAAGCATGACATGACAAAAAGTACAGACAGCATAATATTAACTTTACATTACCTTATTGTTAATTTTAATTTGTATTATATGACTTTTCCCTTACTCATTTAAATTAGTTTGTGTTGTATTATTTTTTGATTTTTCTATTTTTTACCAAATTACTATTTATCTTTATTTGATGGCTTTTTTATTTATTCTATATTTATTTTACCATAAAATAAACAAGTTAAAAAAACGACTATTTTTAGATAACTTATTTATTAATCGACAAAAGTTTTACAATATTCTGATGAGTCTTGAAAGTATTAAAATTTTTATATATTTAATATTGTATGTATGACTGACTATAGGCTATAAGAATGGTAAATAAGTAAGTATAATTTAGCCTTTTACATTAGGCAATATTTAGAATGTTTATTCTCACCAATTTAGTGTATTATAAGAGCTTTTCATTTAAATACCATAGTTTTGGAAAAAAATCCAGTATGAAATTAAAAAATAAATAAAAAACATGGTATTTAATAAACAAGATCATTGACAGCAGACATAGAATAATAATTATCAAACCATTTTTGCTTATTTTATCATCATATCAAAGGATTATAATAAGGGTGATTAATATTCTTATCTCCAATACAAAGTAAATAATATTCATTTCAAACTTAGGGATTGTATATTGGGTTTATCCATTAAATATAACATGGAATTCCCCTGTACCTGTTTTTCAACTTAATCCTCATAAGCTGTCTGAATCTACAAAGCTCAATGTTTATTCTTTAGTAGATATGTGACTTCATTTATTCCATTCAGTAATTTGTTGATGGTTTCATCATAATACAAGGCAATTCTCTGTTTACTTCCTTGTTGATTGTCTGTCCAGTTTTTGTTGCACTCACTTATAGCTGTTTTTGTTTCAACCATCTAGAAAATAAAAGTATTATAAATCTACATACAGCAGGGTATCAATAAATTATATGCAGGAGATAGATTGTAATACATTCATTTACATTAAAATCATACACAAATATAATAAACATGAAGACATAACTTAAATACTTTAAAAGGAACTCCTATATGTACTTAGATATTTTATATTCACATTGTTAAGTTTACCTGAGTAAATGAATGAACATCTTCGCACAACTGTGCCAACTTTGCTTCCAGTTCTAGGTTTCTATTGTTAACATCTGTATTAAATTTGATGTTGGCCAGACTTTTAGCAACTTGGTCAAAATTCATTGCATATTCCTTCAGATCTATCTTCTCAAATTTTTTCGCACTGTCAAAGCTATGTGATGGCGAACTTGCAACTTCGTTTCTGAGATTTTCAGCATAATTCTTCATAACCGCTATCAGAGATTGCAGTTCCTCCTCAGAATATTGATGTTCGCCTTCATTTTTCATGTCTGACATGACCAAATTGGGAACACTCGCGTCTAGAAATTCTGAAGTAATCGTATGTGTTACAATATTATCCTTTTTGTTTACTTGTGCAACATTTACTTTAGATGCAGCATCAAACATAGTTTTGATCTCTTTCATAATCTTTTGCGATTCAGCAAGTTCTTGGTCTAAATTTTGGGTAATCTTTTGTAATTCGTCCAACTTGACCATATTTGGCAAAAACTGAGCAAAAGCCATGGCATGATCCTTGTAGTTGTAACTCATTTTAATGCAATTTTTTTCAAGATGATGTTTTTAAATATTTTTTTTAAATCTGGTGTAAAAATCAATCCAGTTGGTATTGATAGAAAGATCTTATTATTTTGAACGTCGAGAAAAAGCCTAGAGACTTGATTAACTTTAAGATATTCAATTCAATTTTACACAGCGTTCTCGCTGTTTTCTTTCTGCGTATTTGATGTTTGATAAAAGAATCCAGAAAAATGAAAGGGCCAAAACCCTAAACCACAGACAATATAATTTGACGTTTTACAGTTTTAAATTAAGGATAACTTTGAAACTAAAGAGTATAAAGTCAGATGCTTTTGCCTTCCATTCTTCCATTCGATTGAAGTCAAAGAGTATATATTGAAGTTTGTATTAAAATGGTATTTGAGCAATATTGAACATTAATAGTAGTTAGATTGACGAAAAACATTTTGTACCAAATGAATAATATAATTGAAACTTCGAAAAAAACTCAAACAGTCTTATCCATAGTGTATCTCTTAACGTGGAAACGGCTTTAAAATTATAAAGCTATGAGAAAACTACGAAAATGTACATTTAAATAAATAGTTTACGAGAAGATAAACCAGGTTAAATGAATTTAAAAAAATCATACGATCAACAAGCCTATGCCTTACTAGATAACTTATTTGACTATGTACTCTTTGGTTTGATTAACAAATCTTTATGTCAATGTCACTTTGACAATCATCACAAATTTTTAAATTTACGCTTGCTTGTTATTTACATTTTTAATTCCCAATATTATTAAATCAAACATATTATGGAGTATATTTGTTTTTAAGTAAATAATTACTAATAGTAAATAGTTTCTTTAAGTAGCCAATATTGGACTTTTGTAGTTGGGGGCCAAGACCCACTCGGGGTCGCTGCGTCACCCTAGTTAGCCAATATTGGATGTTTATATTAAGTGTTTTGGCATTGTTATTTGCGGTCTATAACACTCAGTTATGAAATAAAACACTTCATACTCATAAACTCCATTTAATTTGTTTTAAAGCGACGTTTTTACAATGTATAGTTAGTTTTGTGGGCCTACACAATAAAAATGATTTTAATACATAATTAATAAATAAATAATAAATTAACAAAACATTGACTTCAAACGTTTTTAAGGAAAATATTATTATTTATGCATAAGTTTTTGCACTCATTTTTTAGTTTTCAAAATGACTATCATGACATTAAATTATATTTTATCCAGTCTTTATTAAAACAATATAACACAATAACCTTAGTTGTATTAATGCTAAGGTTAGATTTACTCTTTTCGCAGCCTATTTATCACTGACAGCCAAGATGTTTCTACTTCTAATAAGAGTTTAAAAACACGTAGCTATTACCACAAGTAGATATCTTCATGTTGATACATGGCTGTGTGTGCTGACGAACAGTCTGATTAAAATCAACTTCTGTGTTCCAGAAAATATTCACTCCAATGGTCCAGACATCCTGCTTGTGCACAGGCTATGGAATCATTCCATTCAGCCAAGGTCACAAAGGCAGAAACCCTCAGGATAGCTTTCAAAATGTAACACATTCACTGCCACCAATTAAACTTGCAAGTTCACTTAGACTACCAATCATATTGACATATTGTCCCTATTCCTTTTCTCCAATGCTATGGCTATCCGTGTGATCGCTTCTGCTTGGGTCATGGCAGCTTCAGATATGTGTTTCAGAGCCTCGGCTTGTAGTAACATTGCCTCAGCACTCTTGGCAGCTACACTTGCTCTATGCTCTTCAGCTTTTGCTCGAATAAGTTCAGCCTCTGCGCGTTTTTTCTCTACTTGAATCAACCATTTTGGATACAGACCTATAATGAGAAAAATTAGTTTTACTATTATTATCAGTACTTTTAATAGATAGTAGTTGTTGGGTAATAACTGTCTGCAATCTTGAGGCAAGAGCCTATTCTATGTTATGGATCAGAATCTGGCCAGCTTAGTAAAAAATCAATAAATAAATGAAATAACATAAATGGAGAAAATAATTAAACATACTTTGTATGAGAGGTTCATTTGAATTTTGGTCAGAATCTTCATCAAATTCATTATTTATGTCCATACATTCTTCAACTCTATCTCCATCTAAAAATAGATAAAACAGTTAGGAAATGGGAATAATTATAAAACACTTTCATATTAATTCATTTATGCGACATCCTTAAAAAGAGGTGCAAATTTTTCCTTTGACATATATGGATTGCCTTTTGTAAAACAAAAAAAAAGGTTGAATTTACCTGATAACCTATCACTAGTGTCACTTTGAGCTTTACTGAAATCACTGAAAACATCATCTTGATAAGCTTCTAACTTTATTTCTGGTGGCATTTGACTCTGGAACACATAAATAACTGTCCTTGATAAATCATAGTCTTGTCCAATTCTAGTAACATCCATAAAATGCCACTTCTCTGCCTCTTTGAAAAAAAAAATACTCAAATTTATACTAGAATTGTGTCGCCTTAGCTTGAAAAATTACCCTAGATACAAAAGCATCTTCATTTGACTTCTTTATATGAGAATGTTTAGGCTAAGATTGAGTTAAAAATTATCACATAAAATAGTAACTTACAGACATTGCATTGTTAGAGAATTCACACTTTCTCCTGGCCTTTTTTCTCTCAAAATAGGGTCCCAGTATCACAAGAGCTCTCTTTTCTAGTTTACTTAATGGTGTTATGCCTTTTTTTGATACTGATGTTGATCTCTGTCTCTTGTTTAATATGCTCACTTTGTTTTTAAGTTTATTCTTGAAATCACTCCAGTACTGAAAGTTACAACCACAGTAATGTTAAAAACCGTCAGGTCCTTGGCTCTAAAACTTAGATTTGAACTCCAGCTGTATATTTTCACTTTATTACAGACTTCAATTATTAAAAATAAAAACATTCAGTTTTATCAAAAGTCATCTTGACTCGTGTTGTTAAACAAATAAGCTAAGCCTGTATTTTTATAAGCTATTTAGCAAATTATAGTCAAACAAACCTTACTCCATCCATCTGAAGTCTTTTTAGTGCCCGTGCGACTGTTGTTAAGGGTTTTTGTTAACTCGTCCCATAAACTCTTCGAGGCATGTCGAGCTTCTAAGGAACGGCAATTACCAGTGGCAAATTCAATATGCTGTCCCATGAAGTCTATAAGAGATTTTAGCTGCTCGAATGAGATGTTTCTTGACCGGCTTGTGTTTTCGGTCATTGTTTCTAACAGAATAAAAGGAGCAATTACACTAACTAACCACTAAATAAAGCGTACATAAATCTAATCCAAATCCGGAGCACAAAAGTAAGACAATTTGGCAAGATTACTAGTTTTAAAACCATACAGGCTTAAACTTATACACGGAAAGTTTCGCTTTCGCACAAGATTGACATTCATATGTATACATTTCTGAATTGTCACATTAGAAATCCATTTTCGAAATGTCAAAAAGGTAAGTAAAAGTATACCAGTGTATCATGAACACATTTACTGAATTTGGAAAAAAATAAATAAATTAGTTTTTATATTGTCTTAATTTAATTAATAGTTAAAGGATACTAAAAACTAAGAAATAAAATAAAAACTTAAGAAAAGAGGTTGTTCTACGTTTAATTTTAGCTGAGTTAGAATGCCTCCAAAGGCCTTTTTGTGGTAAATTTGCCCAGTGTTGTCATTTATAGTAATTAATTTACATAATAATTAAATAAAAAAACCTCTTCCTTACGTGAATTTTTACTATTTAGTTTTTAGTAAAGTTTAATAATATATCTAATTAGTCGAAACATTTTTAAAACACTGATTTTTAGCTTACAACAATAACATAACACAGCAAAAAAAATTACATTACAATGGCAACAAACAACACCTGTCTCTCCTGCGCGAGTGTGCGCGGCGCGGAGAAAATTTAAGAAAAAATAAAAAAAGAAAAGAAATGGCAGTTACTAGAGAGAAAGAAAATTGTTCAAGAAAAATTAATGGAAATATACCTGCATTATCGCTCAATAGTGATAATATGTCGACATCGACCGACAGTGACGACGTAGCGGACCCGACATATGAAATTAGGAACATTCGTAGTATTATAAACGTGACCCGTGAAAACATTGATGCATTGAACGCAAAATTTGCTGGTTTCCAGCACCCGCCGCCGTTGTATTTATCCGAATATCAAGAGTTGACGTTGAAGTTGCATAACTTAGAAGGGACTTTACGGGAGTTGTTGCAGTCAGAGTCGCCGGATAGGAGTGAAGAGTGTTCGTTACAGGATGACTCGAAAAAGTATGACACGCTTACGAGGCAGCCGAAGGTGTTCCTTCGGGCGCACCTTCCTAACCAGCAGCGTACGAGTGTGCAGGTGAAGGAAGGTGTGACGCTTCGGGAGGCGCTCTCCAAAGCCCTTAAGCTACGGAATTTAACTTGTGAAATGTGCGAAGTGGTGAGGACAGGCAATAGCCAAGTGATTCCTTGGGATGTTGACATCACCATGATTGATGCTGAGGAGGTATGTCTCGAAGTTTTTGTTATTATTACAATTTCACAAAGTGATCAGAAATCATAAACAAATAGCAAGGGAATAATAATATGGGCTGTTATATATTTCTTTAAGTTTTTGTTTATTAATTAAAGTTCATATTATTATTAACATTTAAAAGAAAATCAACAAGTTGGTAAATAGTTTACTTTTTTTAAAATTGAATTCAATATAAATATAAGGTGAAACAATTGAAGTTGTTTTATATAAAGAGTACATAAGTGCACCATAATTATACAGGAAATTCACTTGATGTAAAATAATACTTTGATAAATTCCATAATTTGGTATATAATTAAAACAGTCATAATCTATAGAATTTATATCTATTTAACTTCTGTTTTAATTAAACAGTCCTAATGTGTAAACTAAAAACTCTGTAGTCAGTTTAACATATAGAGAAACATCATCAATGGGGACTTTTTTGTCAAGGAACTAGTAAGTATTTATGATTTATGTGCTCCAAATCTCTAGCTGTTTAATACTTACACAGTACCTTTTTGCGTACATTTTTTTTCCATCCTTTTCACAGTCTATTAGAATTAATATTTAATCATTTTCCACTGTATACAATATCTTTAACAACAGTTTAAATAAATTAATAATTTTGGTGGCTATCCACGTTTTTGCGATCCCTCTCATACTCTGGAAAGAAAAGGATAGAAATAGTATTTCTTAGTAGGTGTCTCCCTGTTTGTGATATGCATATGTTAATGAAGATTTTTTTATCAGGTAACAGTCCGAACTTTGGACAAGCTGCCGATAATGTCGCACATCTCACACCAGTTTACGCGGAAGACATTCTTTACACTTGCATTCTGTGAGTGCTGCAGGAGGTTGCTGTTTAACGGCTTCTACTGCTCACAGTGCAATTTCAAGTTCCACCAGCGCTGTGCTGACAAAGTACCCAGTATATGTCACCAGGTAAAAAGTTTAATTCAATACAATTTTATTTGGTAAATTACAAGTCATGGAAGTAAAAGTATAAATTAGAAAATTGTATATTCATAATTATTGTAGTTAAAAAAATTACTTATCCCATATTGGTAAATATTATTTTAGCTGCAGTTCTTGTGTGGTATTAAAATTAATTCTTGATTAAATTGTATAAAGCTCAGTTTTATTGGTGATAAAAAATCAAGTCTGTGTGGACATACTCTAAGACTTCCATATCTAAATAAAAATTAAAGTCATGTTACAGTTACTTAAAGGTCCATTAGTGTAAATTTGTTGCAAAGGGTTTTGCTTATTGACTTAACAGTTTCTTTAGCACCTTTGAAATGGTCCAATCTCACATGTGTAACTAATCTGTACCAACTATACTTATGTTGTATTTCAGATGCGTGTGACGGATACATACTATGCAGCGCTGTTGGCACAGAACCCGGAGACGCAGGCGGGCATCCTGCACTACCCCTCTCACTTTGGATACCACCACATGATAAATAGGCCCGACCAGAGCAAGTCAGTGCAATATATTTGTATATCTACAACTATTTACAAATTACAACCAATCTATAAAGTTAATATGACTGTATTATATGACTTTACTAGGAGAAAAGCATAAAAAAACACCTAAAATTGTTTATATTATATTTGAACTAATTGCAATTTTTTTAAAGCTATAAGCGGACCGAAAGTTAGATAGGCATGTAATGGTTGATTTGTGCAGGTCTGTCTCTAAGAAGCTGAAGGAATTTGACACTCACTGGTGAATATTCTTGCTGTAGTCTTTGACATCATAGCACTGATTGTTTTAATAAATAGAAAAAAAAGGCTATAATAGCTTTAAAATTAAGTTATTTAGAATTATTGATTGGCTTTAATGCAGTAATTTATATGTTTTTGATAGTTTTCATATTGGAATTATTATTTAATATGGTTTTGTGTCAGGTCGCAACATCCTCGCTCACTGAACCAGCAGGACCGCTCCAACTCTGCCCCCAATGTGTGCATCAACATGGTGCAGCGTCCCATCACACTTGCTGAACACCAGAGGAAAAACAATCAGGTTTCTGAAGTTACCTAATTTTACAGTTGATGTTTTTATATTATAATCCTATTGCAGCGACTGTTTATATGAATAAATTTAATGACTGTTAGTGTTAGGGCTATATTTTATACGTAAGTAAGTATATTAATTGTTTTTTGTGCAGAGCAACAACTCTCCGCAGTCCAATAAGTACCTGACGTCGGGCAGACACAACAAGGAGGATAAAGATAAGAATGCAGATCAGCACAGCCACAGTACACAGGTATGCTTCAAATTCTCTATGGTAACTGTATGAAGGTAACATTTCTAATAGTTTAAATTCAAAGAAATTCAGGTAGAGTTCATTTTTTAGTAGCAAAAAAGTGGGAAAAGAGTCATCCACAACAAGTTTTAAAAATGTGTTTGAACACGTTATTTTTTTTTTATAACCTGTTATATTTGTGTTATAGTATGTATAATTTGAAATTCCGTGTGCGCATGCGCAGGCCTCCCCGACAGGCACGCTGCGGCCGCGGCGGGCGCGCGCGCGCTCAGCTGACGAGTCGTGGAAGCACGCGCTGTCGCCGCGCGAGAGCTACGACGACTGGGTCATACACGCTGACGAGATACTCATAGGACCTCGCATCGGTATACATACGTCTCATACAATATGCATCATACATTCAACACATCTTTTTCTATTTTACAATAGTATTGTTAAAAAGTACTATTATATTTGCATCACCTCTGTACAATGTCAATTACATATTTTTTGTCATATTGAGTGTATATGTTATGGTGCAGGTTCGGGCAGCTTTGGGACGGTGTACAAGGCGCACTGGCACGGCCCCGTCGCCGTCAAGACGCTCAACGTCAAGACACCCACTCCAGCTCAGCTGCAGGCATTCAAAAATGAGGTCATACACGCATATATGTTTATTGATATATATTATATTATAGATTACCTAAAATCATTTTAAAATGCATAAATTATATATTTGGTTCTTTAATTTGTCACTCGTTTTAGTGTAAAGCCACAAAAGAATGAACGATACTAAGGTTTAAGATCATGGGTGTCGCTTGAATGAGAGTAAATGTTTTCCTATTTAAATGTTCAGTTTATACGATGTATGTGGTGTGTTTGGGGTGCAGGTGGCGGTGCTGCGCAAAACGCGGCACTGCAACATCCTGCTGTTCATGGGATGCGTGTCGAAGCCCTCGCTGGCGATAGTGACACAGTGGTGCGAGGGCTCCTCCCTCTACCAGCATCTGCACGTGCTGGAGACGCCGCTGCCCGTGCTCTACCTCATCGACGTGGCGCGGCAGACTGCGCAGGGCATGGACTATCTGCACGCCAAGAATATTATACATAGGTACGTACGTACGTACACGTGCACTTACAGACGTGTACGTATACGTAAAAGCACACATATGCAGAATCAATGACAATGTTTTCTTTATTTGCATCAGACTTATATTATGTGTGCACTTGTAATGTGTAATGTGTTTGGTGATAAAAATGTATTTCAGGGACCTGAAATCAAACAATATATTCTTGAGAGACGACTGGTCGGTTAAGATCGGGGACTTCGGTCTGGCGACCGCGAAGGTGCGCTGGTCGGGTGAGTTACTGGATTGCGATTGTAAATCATTTTCTAAATATTGTAAATATTATATTTCCGAAAAAATTAACATACCGTGTGTTTGTTAAATATATAAACCTATTGGTCATAGTATTTGTATTATGTGTTCAGAGTCGTCCCTGGCGGGCGGCGTGCAGTGGCAGCAGCCGACGGGGTCGATCCTGTGGATGGCGCCCGAGGTGATCCGCATGGAGGAGCCGGCGCCCTACACCTTCCGCTCTGACGTGTACGCGTACGGCGTCGTGCTCTACGAGCTCATGGCTGGCGAGCTGCCGTACGCCCACCTCAACAACAAGGATCAGGTCACTTTCACATTTGTTTTTATCTTAATAATGCAAAAAGAATCTTAAAGCCAACTGCTTGGCACAGCTATTAAGCCCTTGACTGAACCGGACGATAACATTCTCATTTTAAATATAACAAGTTTAATTTAGTTTTTCATCAATATAATATTGTACTAGATCCTGTGGATGGTGGGTCGCGGTCTGCTGCGGCCGGACCTGCGTCGGCTGCGGCAGGACTCACCGCAAGCGTTGAAGCGGCTGCTGGAGGACTGCATCAAGTTCGACCGCGAGCAGCGGCCGCAGTTCCGGCAGATCCTGGCCGCGCTGGAGGCCATGCTGCGCGCCATGCCCAAGATCACCCGCAGCGCCTCCGAGCCCAGCGTCAGCCGGCACCTGCACGCCGCGGACGGGGCTGACGACTACCTCGCCTACAGCTGCGCCTCGCCCAAGACGCCCGTCAACTTCCAGTTCAACAATGACACCAGCTTCCCCGCTTTCTACGGGTCAGTTTACAAATTTATCTTTCGCAGTATGCACATAACTAATGTTAAAAAGAAACTATTGCTAGACTACGAGTCCAATTTGCACCTAATGTAATGATTTGATAATGTGCATTAGTCATGTTTTGATTTATTGTCACACACATATACACACACACACACACACATTTAAAAGAGATATTTAATTGTAACCAGGACTAATTTAAGATTCAGAGATATTTTAGTAACATGAATTAAATGTATTTCAGAATCCCAGTGCCAAACCAGCGCCATCCTTAGTGTTTGGTGGCGGGCTATGAATAGCCCCCGCCCCCGCCCAGCGATACTCCGCCCCCGCTCTGCGCCGCGCCGCGCCGCGTGCAGCGCTACAGTGTCAATTCAGACCCTCTCCTCTGCTCTGTGTGTGATCAAACTCGACTGCTCGAGAACTTACCACCCAATACTTTGGGTACAAATATTCATTCACTTATAACATATAATTATCATAAAACTATTTGTTGTGATTTTTTGTTATACTCATCGTTCGAATGCATTTGAAGAAGTCAAAAAGTATCAAGATTATCAGTTTACATTTAGTTGTAACAGATGTATATTGATATACTTGAGTCTGAGGAATAGTTTATTTTAAAAATATAACTAATTGTTTGATGAAATCCCGAGTCATAAGTAATTTTATGTTCATATTTTATATTACAAATTGAACCAATAATGTTCAAACCTTTTATAAACTATACACCACAGTTCACTTTGTTACAATCAATGTCAAAAGAAACCATAGTTTTTTTTATTAATAATTCTGAAATCTATAGAGTTGTGTTGTAAATATAAAATAATTAAAAAGTTTGCGAGTGCCTGAATTGTTACACAATGCAATAAATCTTGTTTCTATTTAAGTAAGCGGTGTGACATGGTTTGCTCTAGATTGTACGTTGTCTATGATCTAGTGGAGACGCGCCTTGCGTGTCTGTGGTTCGCGTTACGAACATTGTCTATGGTCTTGCTGAGTGTCGCGGCTCGTATTCAGCTGTCTATGGTATGGAGGATGTGTAAATATTTAGATAGACCATCACAAACAAATTCATAGCATTGAGTTTTTTGTGTTGACTCACACTATTTTCTAGATCTAGATTATTGAATATTTTATTTATTACGAAATTAGATTAAGGCTTTATTTTGACAGTATTTAAAAGCGAATAATTTTCAGTGAATCTTCTATCTTCGTCCATAACTACCATTCAAACGTATAAAAACGCCATAGCTATGTTAACATTTTGTAAGTTTTTAGTTTTCCATCATTAACTAGACTCTATTATATATTTTAAATTTATAACATTTATTTCTGAATATCAATTTGTCTCTGATCGCTGTAGAAAGTATGAAATTATACTTTTTAATATTTGTTTAATTTTTTTTAAAACCATTATTTTGACTTATTAACATCAAAAATTATTTATTGTGTTTAGTCATGTAGGGAATTGAAATTAAGAATCTTTTTTTAATTCATTTTGTTTAAGTTTTATTTTGAGCTACTATTTTGTAATTCGCTGTGATAATGAAATTAAAGAGCGGGAATAACTAGTAAAATGCTACAACTGCATTTTATGGATTCATGGGATGAGTCATAAGTAATTTGTGCTGCAATAAAAAGTGATAAAATTTTTATTTTTGCATAATTATATTTTTGTATAAATCTTAATTGACATTTACATGGAAGAAAATGGCGTTCTCGGTTTGACAGATTGTATTGCCATCAACATATATTTGTTTGAAGTATTATTTGTGTAATTGAAGGCGAGCGGAGCCGGGAGGCGCGCCTCTGTATCATTTATTTGTGACACTGTAAATAACTAATTGTAATGATCGTAGCTTATCTTATTGTTAAGGACTTGTGTATAATTAGTTTTAACGCATAACTACTGATTTTAAGGATACAATAAATTATTGTTTCGATTTAAACATTTCTTTTATTTTTTAATTCATGATTCAATATCGAATATAAATTTTGCATGCGAGACATTTGTTTAAATTGTCTTAATCGAAGAACTAAATGAAATTTTGATTGTCCTCAACAACGTTTCCGTGGTGTAGCGGTTATCACATCTGCCTAACACGCAGAAGGCCCCCGGTTCGATCCCGGGCGGAAACATAAGTTTTGCCTTTGATTTTTTTCGTAACGCTAATAAAAGTCGGAAAAATAAAGAGAATGTAGTGTTTTATTTGACTTTTTTATTCAAAAATAAGTTTGTTACATTTTTAGAATTACACAATCTATATAGCAGTTACAATACATTGTTTTAAAATTTGTAAAATAGACGGTCTTAAAAATATATTATTATCAGCATTCCTAGTCCTCTGAAACTAATTTCTGTTTAACAGCAAGCAATTAAAAGACATGAAAATTTTTATACAATTTAATAATATGACGTCACATTCAGAGGTACATAATTTGTACAAACGCAACATTAAACTCACAATTATAACACAAAATGTTCAACATCAAAATAGCTCAAACAGAAAGTGAAAAATATAGGTTATAAAATGTAATCTAATCATTTTTGTCATCATCAGAATCATCACTGTCCTCATCATCATTAACTGGCGGTCTCTTTTCATCAACTTTATCTATTGTGTTGCTTTTTTTCTTGTTTTTCTTCGGTTTCTCATGCAGCTGGAACTTGGTGACATATACTTTCTTGCCGCCGACTCTAACCTCTTCGGCCATTTTCATGGCGCGCTCCACCGCCTCAGGTTCGTCTAGCTCTACGAATGCCGTAGCTGTAGAAATAAGATGGAATGGTAAGTTACTACTAATAAAAGTTTTTCAGACAGAATAAGAGCAACAAGGATCATGTCTACGCTATAAGTCAATTTAGTAGAAACCTGGATATTAGTGAGACTCAATATGTACCTGTTTTAATAATGTTAGTAACAATCCAACTATCCTAAGAACCATGTAGGCTCAGAATAAATAATTTTCGTGGTGGTTAAAGGTTTGATCCTTTAGGTCAATTTTAGCTAAAAACTTTTTTATTTAGTAAAAACATTAAAGAACATATTCTTACACATGGATTTCTTTCCCTTGATAAGATGTCTTATTCTCCTTATGCGTCCTACATTACTGAACATCGTGCTTATGATCTGTTCGGTGAGTGGGCCATATGTGCGCACCACTGCTGTTGTCTCTGTTGGAGGGAATGGCTTTAACACCCGAATGGTGGTGCCTTCAAAAGATGTGTTGTCTTCTTCTAACGCCTGTAAGTAATAAAAAAAATGTAATATTAATGAATATAAGTTTTTATGTTACTTGATATTGAAATTTTTGTCACTAAAATGTTTCGTAAACTAATGAGGAAATAGCAATTTCAATAACATAAATATTCAATGAAACCTTAAAAAAGACAGGGTAGGTTTTGTACACATGTTTCTGCAGTGGAATCTCACAGTTTACAATTTGCAAACATATTAATATCTTTAGCTCTTACCTTCATAGCATCAGCTGCGGTATCAAAATAAACTGTTGTGTTGAAAACTGGCTTGATACCCTCTGATGGGTAGATTTGTGCAATACTGAAAATTAAATTATTTCTCAATGTTAGATCACCGCATATTTTATATATACTTTATATTTTTTTATTAATACTTATCACACTGCACTCAATTAGGATAGTATTTGACTTTTATGCTAGCACTTATTGTAATTTTTAGACTTGAAAAATATTGAAAAAAATTGGAACATGTCTTGCATAGCCTCTATGTTGTCATCTTACTAATATTATAATTGCAAATGTTTAAATCAATGGGAATGGATGGATGTTTGATAGAAGGTATCTCCAGAACAGCTGAATGGATCTCGATGAAATTTGCCATTCATATCGAACATAGCCTTTAAGAACACACTGACTACTAATTATGTTTTTTTTAATTACGCACATACGGAGTCGCGGGCGACCGTTAGTATGTAATCTAAGGGTTAGTATTTTTTGTTTTAGTATTAATTTATTTACTAACACTTTCAACATACCCAACTCTCCGTACAGTTCCACACTGTGCAAAATGTTCAGCTAACAATTTCTTATAGCTCAAAATTATACTAAAAGGTAAGTTTTCTACATTTACAGGATGCATGCCTTTATCAGGGTCATCTTTTCCTTTCTTTCCCTTATTCCATCTTTTTTTCTGCCATTTTTCTTTCTCTTTACTTCCTTCAATTTCAGCTTTAGTCTCTGCTTCTGGTTGTTTGTCTCTTTTTTTGTTAATTTTGTTTTTCTTTCGTTTCTTTTTGTCAACTACAGTCATTTCATCAAGGAGGTTTGATAAAGTGTGTGTGTTATCTCCAATACTAAGGTTTTCAAGATTTCCTGCTATGACCTCGGGTTTATTTTCATTCTTTTTATACTTATCTGAGTCAATTTCAGTTTCATTATTTTGTGCATTTGTGATGTTTTTCTTTTTCTTAGCCTTTTTAGGTTCAACTGATGATTTGTTATCAGTTGTGGATGTACCAACATTTGTATCAATTTCTTTATGTTGTAATTTTTTCTTTTTATTATCAGTTGTTTCTTGACTTTTGTTTATCAGATTTACATTTTCAATATTGCTATCACCTGATTCTTTACCTTTAATGTTTTTCTTTACTTTTTTATTTATCTTCCTTTTTGTAGGATCACTATATTCATTATCTAATTTTTGTAATATGTTCCTTTTCAAGTTCATAGTTTTGTCAATTGAATTTGATGTAATATCTTCCTTCTTCATGTCAACATCATCATTTTCTACTCTATCTTGAGACTTATTCTTCTTTTTTTGTTTTTTCCTGTTATTCTCGTTATTAATTGTATCTTGTTTATGAGTTGTTATATCTGACTTAGTTTTTTTAACAACCACCTCTTCCTTGTCATCCAACATAAAACTAACAGACTTGTTCCTTTTTTTAGGTTTTATTTTCCCCATTTCTGTATTAACTACACTCTCCGAGTTATAACTGACTTGTGCTGATTTTACTTTATCTTTTTTTCTAGCATTTTTATTTAAAACATTGTTTAACGGTTGGTTTTCATCTGTATTTTTTTCACCTGTTTCACCTACTGTGTTTGATGTTACTAAATTTGATTTCATTTTTTTTCTTTTCGACTTCCCAAGTTTGTCCTGTGTAGATATTAATTTAACATTTGTCTCGGCGGCACTTTTATACAAATGTGCAAAATTCATTGTTAACTAAGTTATTTCAGCGTTGCGATTTTAAAAACAGATTAACACATTTAAATATAACTAAAGACCTACAAGAAAATAGGACTAAAACTAGAAATATCTAAATTGAAAAACAATGTGGTGCAAAACCACATGCGACAATGTTTGACAATTAAATATGACAGCGACAGCGATATTGTGTAACATGACATTAACATTAGACATTTATCAATGTTGTCTGTCGTGTGTTATTTTATTTTCTTTATTTATTAACATGGCAGACTTACAGCTAATAAGTAACAATAATAGATATATGATAAGTTAAAGTACAACCATTTATAAGTCTACTTTTGCTATAATGCATTTCCCTTATTGAAAGGTAAAAAAATATAATGAATTATGTATAAACCAAGTAAAAACTATCAAGTAATACTATTTTATTTAAAATCTATAAATGTGTGACATGTCTTTAAGTCACTAGAGATGAGTTCCTTTTTTTAACTTCAAGCATTTTATTTACATTTAGCAATCAATATTTTATATACTCTTTGTTAGCAATATGCATTATCTATAAAAATAGCAAAGAGTACATATATAAAATAGTGTTAAATATTTTTGGCATCCAATATATTTTAATCTAGCAACACCTCATTACTTTTGCGTTAATTAATGGCGGTAGCGCTTGCGTGATGCCGGTTGTATGTTATTATTACTTCTGAATTGGCGTCTTTTATTGAAAGTTAGCGCCTCGGTTGTTTTCAGCATCTAGTAATCTTGCTGGTGAGTGAAATCTTTATATGTGAAAGTGTTATTGTCCTACAGTGTTAGGGAGTTGTCTAAAACGACCTTTGTGGTGTACGGTTTCGTGAATTTTCCACTCTAAACGCCATGCTTCATGGCGCGTTAGCTTCTTGTTAATGTAGGTACCGTTATATGTGCACCTTGTTTCACCAAAATAAATTCAGCTAATGGTATGGCTTGATGATTTTTAGATTTTACGCGCCAATTTGAGACCTTGTCTTTAACTAATATCGGCGCCAAATCGATGTGCGATACGACACATACACCCATATAGTACTTTAGTATCTATAGCGCATGGCGGGAAATGCGTCGATGGCGGAGCGTCTGTTTTAACTTTCATGTTATTTTATGTTATTACAGTAAAACGTAAAAATGGTTGCCCAGAAGAGAGGTCGTGGCGCCAAAGCTCAAGCCGCGAAAGCTAAGGCGGCAACTCAAGCGGAGGAAGTTCCTCAGCCCGAGGTTGAAGCGATGGAAGGGACTGAAGAAAACAATGGACAAACAGAGTCAGCGGAACAGGGCGACGAAGGCCCCGTGAATGAAGAGACCCAAGAAACACAAGAAAATGACCAGAGCCAGGAGAACGCGGAAAACGAGACCAAGTCCGAAGAACAGAAGGAAGAAAAGGTGGAATCTGGTAAACTGTTGGTTGAAAACCTGCCATCAAGCTTTCTCTTTGACTATCAAGAAAAACTTAAAGAGATATTCTCAAAACATGGAGAAGTTATCAACGTAAAGTAAGTCTATGTTATTTTATATATATTTATACAAGGAAATATTATTTGTTAACATTCAAATATCAGTCCCAATATTTCTTGTTGATTTAATAATTTGTTAAAGTCAAATACTTTAATCATAAGTTGTAAGCTAGTTATAAATTTCCGTTGGTGTTCCATTGTGCAAATTCACTTGGAGCCCCACCGTGCAAACGGAGTATTAACAAGAGAAATTTTGTTTGTTTCTAGACGTGGTCCAATCATTGTTACTGAACTGACCACAACTCCGACATTATCGGCTATAGTCGAATTCAAAAACAAAGAATCTATGGAAAAGGTAAACAAAAGCTTATTAACTTTATTTTGTTATTACAAAGAGACTTTAGCTAGTTAATTTAGTACAATGCAGCGTCTTCTTTGAGACACCAAAGTGGCGCAATAAAATTAACGCTAAGATTTTTTTCCAAATTTCCTTTAAAAGTTTTAAGTCCTCAAGTTACATATGACTATTTGAATGTTTCAAATGGCTGGTCTTCTACTGCAATCACTGATGGTTTGGTACCTTTCATGATTTTATGTTAATTATCAAAATTTTACAGTATTTTTCATTTGGTTGTAGCAGATCAGCTGATATGATGTTTTTTTATTTGTGATGTTCTATGTTGTTTATGTTTTTTTATCTGCTGTGGTGAATGTATTATTTATATAACAATTAAATAGATCATCTTAAATTAAAAAAAAAATTACATGAATAAAAAAAATCTAAAATTTTTATTGATATTTTTTACTATTGATATAAAACTGTGAAGGTTGTTTTGAGTATATATGCTAAAAAATGCCCTCATATTGAGATCAACCTTGTTTCTATTTTTAAATAAGTGTGTCAGTTTGTCACAGTTATGTACCTGTTGACCTTTAGCTAAGTTATATGAGTTAACAGTTCTAAATAACTGCATTTACCACGGTAGAATGTCTTGAACTGTATATCAAATATATTTTGTTATTGATGTTGTCAGAGTTTTATATAACTCTAATTTGATACTATTTGTAATGAATATTGAAATTTTTAATCACCCTTTGGATGTTTATTATTATTTAATAAACAAAGGTAAGCTATAAAAATCACTTACCCTATGAATATAAAATATGTTTCTAAATTTTGAAGAAAGTTGAGAAAGATTAAAATTTTGCAAAACAATTTAAATTCAAAATTGCCAAGTTTACGGTGAAAGTAAATATTATAAAATAAAAATTATAAAGGTTTCCTAAGGACAGGGGTGACCAATGTTCTATATTTAAAATGACAAATTTATATATGCTAAATATACATAATTATTGTACAAATATAAAAATATTAACTTTACATCAGAGGTTAACAACCTATGAGTAACTCACGGATTACTGGAAAGGTTCAAGTGACTTTAGATCCAAAACAAACAATTGAATTGAGTCTTTGCTAGACACTGTTACTTTTAACCTAAGGATGCAACATTGGTAACCCTTGGCTATGTGTGTGCGAAGTGGTATGTGTGTGGGGCGCGTGTACAATGTAGCGTTGTGCGCAGGCGCTGTGCGAGGACGGCGCGGTGGTGGAGGGCAGCGCCATCTCAGTGGCGGCGGAGTCCCGCGGGGAGACGGCGGTGCTGGTGGGCGTGCCCTACGAGGCCAGCACTGACTACGTGCGGCTGCTGTTCGCGCAGTGCGGCGATGTCTCACACATACACGAGTTCAGCAAGACCAAGTACAAAATATGTAAGTAACTAATGTTGAAACTACTAACTGTTGCACGCGGTTCCGTTCGTGCGGAATTGAAAAAAATAACTGTGCCAAATTTCAGCGAAACCCGTTGAGCTGTTCTGGAGATACCTAATAACAAACATCGCATTCGCCTTTATAATATTAGTAAGAAGTAAGATTTAATCTTATCTAAGGATTCATACTTTAGTAGCTTGGTGTACATAAAGTGAATGTATTTGTTGTGTAGTGCGCGTGACGTTCTTCGAGAAGGAGGCTGCGGAGAAGGCGCTGAAGCTAGACCGCGAGCTGCGCATCAACGGTTTCCTCGTCACCATCACCAAGTTCCGCGACGAGGAGGAGCAGAAGGCGCATGCCGCCAACTCCAGCAAGGTAACCACAGATCACCGAACAATATGGAGGAGTTGGATTATATCAAATTTGTAGAGTGATTAGGGCTTAACCATGCTGGCCGAGTGTGGGTTGGTGATGTAGGAACAGTCACAGTTCACAGTCATCGTGATTTTGTTTAATATGTAAACAACCATTACATATTAAAATCTGAATACTAAGTGATATTGTTTATACGACGGCTGACCAAGACTTTATAATGATATTTGTGTTGCAGAACAAGCGGCAACACTCGCAGCAGGGCGCGCGGGGGTCGGGCGGGGGCGGGGGCGGCGCGGCGGGCGG